TTAGGATTCAGGGCTTTCACTGTGGACTGGGTTCAATCCCTGGTGGGGGGACCAAGATCCCACAAGTTGGGCTGCATGGCCCAGAAAAACCAAAAATAAAGAAGCCCAAGGCCCTAGTTGTGTCTGTGATTTCATGAGCAGACACACACTGTGGGACACACACTTGGTCGTCAATGTTCTTGTTCAGTTGCTAGGTCATGTCCAACTCTTTGCAACTCCAGGGATGGTAGCATGCCAGGCACCTCTGTCCTCCAATGTCTCACAGAGTTTGTTCAAATTCATGTCCACTGAGTCAGTGATGCTATCTAACTATCTCATTCTCTGCTGCCCCCTGCTCCTCTTGCCTTCCGTCTTTCCCAGCATCAGGTTTTTTCCAATGACTCGGCTCTTCACATGGCCAAATTGTTGGAGCTTTAGGTTCAGCATCAGTCCTTCCCATGGATATTCAGGATTGATTTATTTTAGGGTTGACTGGTTTGATCTCCTTGGCTGTCAATAAGAATTACCAAATGTGGGGGGAGAGAGAGGGTTAAGCAAAAGAAAAAAAAACATTTAATGCCATTTTATGATAAATTTTATGCAGTTATTAAATTATAATATATAAAGAAAGTTTCAATTATTTTTTAAAAAGAAGAAAACTAAGCAAGACAACGACCTGTCCATCTCCCGTGGGGCAGGGGTGGGGGCACCCAGGAGTGATATGAACAGCAGAAGTCTAGCCAATGACAGAATCTTCCCAACACATGCGTTTATTTCAAAATCAAACAATCTCTGGTAAATATTTAGACCCAGTGTCTGCAGGAAAGAGGGAGAGACTGCTGGTACTGAAATCCCATCAGTTGTTAAAAGTGAAAGTGAAAGTGAAGTTGCTCAGTCGTGTCTGACTCTTTGCGACCCAGTGGACGGTAGCCCACCAGGGTTCTCCGTCCATGGGATTCTCCGTCCATGGGATTCTCCAGGCGAGAATACTGGAGTGGGTTGCCAGTTCCTTCTCCAGGGGATCGAACCCAGGTCTCCCGCATTGCAGGCAGACACTTTAACCTCTGAACCACCAGGGAAGCCCAAAATTGTTAAGGGACTGCCTTTTATCCGAGAAAACTTCTCTAGAAGCTTCTTGCAGCAACTCCCCACCCCCACCCAAACACACACACACCTTTCCAGGTCTCAACTGTAGAAAGGAAATCTCCATACTAATTTTTTTCCATGCTAGCAGTTGGGACCAAGAAGGTCATATACAGGAAGGTCATATACCAATGAACGGGGCCCAGGTTCAACCTTTGGTCATGAATCTAATGGGGGGCTAAAAAATAAAGTAAAAAAAGATTAAGAAAAGTAAAACAAAAATATTTTTAAATAAACAGCAAAAGTGTTAATTAAAAAAAATAAGTCATAGACAGAAAAAGTTCTGAAAACTCCAGGACAAGCCTGGATCCTCCACCCACAGGTAGGACAGATTACTGCCCTCTCTGAGGGCAGCTCTCTCTAAACAGCATATCTTCCGAGGTGCAAATCTGATCTTGTCATCCTTTCTTAGAACCATTTTATTGTAATCCAAATCTAAATGCAATTCAATTTCTTCTAAGTCCACAAGATCCTGCTCGATCTGGCATCCTGTCACCCTGGGGCTCACTAACTGCGCTCAATCTCCACAGCTCATGAGGTCAGGATGTTGCCTTTTCCAGGAAGCCTTCCCAGGCTGCCCAGGAATGGTTAGGGGACCCAGTAGCTGTAGGTGCCTGGTTTTTGGTCTGTTACGCCACAGTCGAGCTTTCAGATTCATGAGGGCAGAGACCTCATCCCTGCAGTTTGTAGTCTCTGTGTTGGGTCGGGATGTTTTGGGAGCTGTGATTCAGTGACCTCCCTGAGGTGTCCACCAGTTCTATCATTGTATCCTGGCTCACTGATTCCTAAAATGTCGATGTTCACTCTTGCCATCTCCTGTTTGACCACTTCCAATTTGCCTTGATTCATGGACCTAACATTCCAAGCAACAGTTAGAACTGGACATGGAACAACAGACTGGTTCCAAATTGGGAAAGGAGTATGTCAAGGCTGTATATTGTCACCCTGCTTACTTAACTTATATGCAGAGTACATCATGAGAAACGCTGGGCTGGAGGAAGCACAAGTTGGAATCAAGATTGCCGTGATATCAATATCAATAATCTCAGAATGCAGATGACACCACCCTTATGGCAGAAAGCAAACAATAACTGAAGAGCCTCTTGATGAAAGTGAAAGAGGAAATTGAAAAAGTTGGCTTAAAGCTCAACATTCAGAAAATTAAGATCATGGCATCCGGTCCCATTACTTCATGGCAAATAGATGGGGGAACAGTGGAAACAGTGGCCGACTTTATTCTTCTGGGCTCCAAAATCATCACAGATGGTGATTGCAGCCATGAAATTAAAAGACTCTTACTCCTTGGAAGGAAAGTTATGACCAACCTAGACAGCATATTAAAAAGCAGAGATATTACTTCGTCAACAAAGGTCCGTCTAGTCAAGGCTATGGTTTTTCCAGCAGTCATATATGGATGTGAAAGATGGACTATAAAGAAAGCTGAGCACCGAAGAATTGATGCTTTTGAACTGTGGTGTTGGAGAAGACTCTTGAGAGTCCCTTGGACTGCAAGGAGATCCAACCAGTCCATCCTAAAGGAAATCAGTCCTGAATATTCATTGGAAGGACTGATGTTGAAGCTGAAACTCCAATCCTTTGGCCACCTGATGTGAAGAGCTGACTCATTGGAAAAGACCTGATGCTGGGAAAGATTGAGGACAGGAGAAGGGGATGACAGAGGATGAGATGGTTGGATGGCATCACCAACTCAATGGACATGGGTTTGGGTGGACTCCGGGAGTTGGTGATGGACAGGGAGGCCTGGCGTGCTGCAGTTCATGGGGTCGCAAAGAGTTGGACATGACTGAATGATTGAACTGAACTGAACATTCCAGGTTCCTATACAATATTGCTCTTTACAGCATTGGACTTTGCTTCTATCACCAAGCACATCCACAACTGGATGTTGTTTTTGCTTTGGCTTTATCTCTTCCTTCTTTCTGGAGTTATTTCTCTACTGATCTCAAGTGGCAAATTAGGCACCTACAGGCCTGGGGAGTTCATCTTTCAGTGTCCTATCTTTTCACCTTTTCATACTGTTCATGGGGTTCTCAAGGCAAGAATATTGAATTGGTTTGCCATACCCTTCTCCAGTGGACCACATTTTGTCAGAACTCTCCACCATGACCTGTCCATCTTGGGTGGCCCTACCTGGCGTGGCTCATAGTTTCATTGAGTTAGACAGGGCTGTGGTCCATGTGATCAGGTTGGTCAGATTGGTTATGCAGATGACACCACCCTTATGGCAGAAAGTGAAGAATAACTAAAGAGCCTCTTGATGAAAGTGAAAGAGGAGAGTGGAAAATTTGGTTTAAAGCTCAACATTCAGAAAACTAAAATCATGACATCTGGTCCCATCACTTCATGGCAAACAGTGAAAACAGTTCAGTTCAGTTCAGTTCAGTCACTCAGTTGTATCTGACTCTTTGTGACCCCATTAGAACTAACACCCGAAAAAGATGTCCTTTTCATTATAAGGGACTGGAATGCAAAAGTAGGAAGTCAAGAAACACCTGGAGTAACAGGCAAATTTGGCCTTGGAGTACAGAATGAAGCAGGGCAAAGGCTAATAGAGTAAGAGAACACACTGGTCTTAGCAAACACCCTCTTCCAACAACATAAGAGAAGACTCTACACATGGACATCACCAGATGGCCAACAACGAAATCAGATCGATTATATTCTTTGCAGCCAAAGATGGAGAAGCTCCATACAGTAAGCAAAAACAAGACTGGGAGCTGACTGTGGCTCAGATCATGAACTCCTTATTGCCAAATTCAGACTTAAATTGAAGAAAGTGGGGAAAACCACTAGACCATTCAGGTATGACCTAAATCAAATCCCTTATGATTATACAGTGGAAGTGAGAAATAGATTTAAGGGACTAGATCTAATAGACAGAGTGCCTGATGAACTATGGATGGAGGTTTGTGACATTGTACAGGAAACAGTGGCTGACTTTATTCTTCTGGGCTCCAAAATCACTGCAGATGGTGACTGTAGCCATGAAATTAAAAGACACTTACCCCTTGGAAGGAAAGTTATGACCAACCTAGACAGCATATTAAAAAGCAAAGACATTCCTTTGCCAACAAAGGTCCGTCTAGTCAAAGCTATGGTTTTTCCAGTAGTCATATATGGATGTGAGAGTTGGGCTATAAAGAAAGCTGAGCATCGAAGAATTGATGCTTTTGAACTGTGGTGTTGGAGAAGACTCTTGAGAGTCCCTTGGACTGCAAGGAGATCCAACCAGTCCATCCTAAAGGAAATCAGTCCTGAATATTCATTGGAAGGACTGATGTTGAAGCTGAAACTCCAATCCTTTGGCCACCTGATGTGAAGAGCTGACTCATTGGAAAAGACCCTGATGCTGGGAAAGATTGAGGGCAGGAGGAGAAGGGGATGACAGAGGATGAGATGGTTGGATGGCATCACTGACTCAATGGACATGAGTTTCAGTCGGAGTTGGTGGTGGACCAGGGGGACCTGGCATGCTGCAGTCCATGGGGTCGCAAGATTGAGCGACTGAACTGAATTGAACTGGTCCCGACTTTCAGCTGGCTCTGGCCTGGAGCAGGGCTGCTAACTGGGACTGGCTATTTGGGGTGGGTGAGGGGAGTGCGGCCAGATCCTGGAGAAGACGACGAAAAGAGTGCGTATTTTCCTAAGGCAGAGGACTCCCGCGGGACCGTGCCCCTCATAAACATGAACGAACTCTCCGGCCCGCGTTGGGGCCAGCCCCTCACAACAATGGCGTCTCGCAGACTCTTATTGGTCGCAGTGGGCTCGATGGACAGCGCTGATTGGCGAAGAGAGGAGGCGTGTCGGGGGCGGGCCCAGGAGCTTAGTTTTTTTTTCGGTCCGGGCCTAGAGTGCAGCTGCCTGCCTCTCTACTATGTCTCGGGCACGTTGCCACGCTCTCTTCCTGGCAGCGGTTTCTCCGCGTGGTGCAACAACCGGGGTCGCAGCGCGGCGAGGGTTGAGCGCGTGGCCTGTGCTGCAGGAGCCAGGCATGGAGTATCAGGTATCTTTGCCCGCCGACGGGAGGTCGCACAATGACTCGTGAGCCAGCCTGAGGTCACTTAGCATCTGGTCTGCGCCAAGCTGAGAGGGTGGCCAGGAGCCTGGGACTCGCTGGGGTCGAGGGGCGGGGCGGGCGGGGACCTTCTGGAGTCTGGAGGTGGGGACAGGCACCAGGGAGTTGGGCCCGGCTCTACCGGATTTGGGAATTCTGAGGCTGAAGTGAACCGCGGTTGGAAGAGAGGAAAGGGATGCCTGGTGGTAGGACCAACGGCTCAGCTGAGATTCTGGAGTTATTAAAGTGTCTCCGGACTCCGAAGCAGCAGTTGGGGGTGGGGGAGAGTAGAGGGATTAGGGAGTTCAGACTTGGGAGATCCAGGAGTCTTGATGTGGGTTGGAGTCTCCAGGATTCAGGAAGAAGGAGATCCAAGTGCTTAGAATTGGGGAGCAGGCAGAACTCAGGAGCAGGGGTGGTGATGAAAGAACATGGAAAACAAAAACTTCCTCCTGGTTCTGTGCCAAAGGCCAATTGCCAGAGAGCAGCACAGGATGCTGGTCAGGCAAGCGGCGCCAGTTTGACGAGTAGGGCCTGCAGCCAGCCACTGAGGCCCTGAAAGGTTAGAGATATCACTCCCACTTCCACCACCCAGCGTGAACTGTCCTGAGGCTATACCTACCTGCCTTCTTGTCTGGGCGACCCTGGCACACCCTTCCTCCGAGACTCCTCTCTCTCAACTGGTTGCTTCAGGCCACTCTTCTCTGGGTCGGAATGTGGAATCCCAATCCTCAGGGTTAGGCATGGAAGCCTCCTGGAATTCCTAGTTCTAATTCCTTCAGTTCTAAGATCCTAGCCTTCTAGGGCCAGATATAGTGATATAGTGTGAACTATGGAAGAAATTGGGCTTTCCCAGTGGCTCGGTGGTCAAGGATCTACCTGCCAGTGCAGGAGACGCAGGGGACACGGGTTCAATCCCTGGCTCAGGAAGATCCCCCGGAGAAGGAAATGACAACCCACTCCAGTATTCTTGCCTGGGAAATCCCTTGGACAGAGGAACCTGGTGGGCTACACTCCATGGAGTTGCAAACAGCTGGACATGACTGAGCATGACTGAGCATATATGCACACACCCACACATGCATGGAGGGAATTAGGGCAAAGACCTGAGAGTGAAGCCTAGTCTTGTTAGTCAGTTTACCTGTTTTGCCTGGCACTCCCTAGGTGAAGCTGAACTGCCCCAGGCTCCCATTTCTGCCAGAGCTAGAAAGATGCCACTTCTTTCTCAGTGGTGCCTAACCTCTGGGCTGGGGCACCAGGGCTGGCGTGGCAGTCCTGGTACCCTGGCCTAGCCCCTGGCATGCTGTGTGCCCCTGTCCCCATGGGCCCCTAATGCGCCTTAACTTGCTACCTGGGGCTCACTGCCAGGATGCTGTGCGCACACTCAACACCCTGCAGACCAATGCTAACTACTTGGAGATGGTGAAGCGTGAGCGGGGTGACCCCCAGACACAGCTGGAAGCCATGAAGCTGTACTTGGCACGGAGTGGGCTGCAGGTAAGGTGGGGAGGGCCTGTAACCACCTCCACCCCCCACTTCTGTTTGTGCATCCTGTGGCTGAAGCAGGGACCTTGTCTATCTGTCCTAGGTGGAGGACTTGGACCAACTGAACATCATCCACATTACTGGGACCAAGGGGAAGGTGAATCACAGGACCCAGGGGTAGGGCGTCCGCGGGCTGGGGTGGGGGTTTGGGACCTGCCCAGACAAGACCTTTTCTTTGCAGGGCTCCACGTGTGCCTTCACTGAACGTATCCTCCGAAGCTACGGCCTGAAGACGGGGTTCTTTAGGTACTGAGGTACAGAGGGATGTGGTGTCTCCTAGCTGTCTGGGGGTCTCTGGATCCAACCTGCACCTCAGGGTCAGGGTCCCCCACAGGAACTCAGCTGCATATCTCTCTGCCCAGTGTTTACTCATTCAACATACATTCAGTTAGCATTTAGTGTATTAGCCCAAGTTTATGACAATCTCTAATTTTTATAATGCAAAGAACTTGAGTGGAGCAGCAACTTGAATGGATAAACAAAATACACAGCTGGAAAAGTCAGATATCTTTTTAGTCCTTTTTTGGCTATATCATGTGGTATGAGGGATCTTAGTTCCCTAACCAGGGATCAAATCCGCGCCCCCTGCAGTGGAAGCACGGAGACTTAACCACTGCACTGCCAGGGGAGTCCCTCAGATATCTTTTTTTTCAGTTCAGTTCAGTTCAGTCGCTCAGTCGTGTCCGACTCTTTGTGACCCCATGAACTGCAGCACGCCAGGCCTCCCTGTCCATCACCAACTCCCAGAGCCTACCCAAACTCATGTCCATTGAGTCGGTGATGCCATCCAACCATCTCATCCTCTGTCATCCCCTTCTCCCGTCCTCAATCTTTCCCAGCATCAGGTCTTTTCCAATGAGTCAGCTCTTCACATCAGGTGGCCAAAGGATTGGAGTTTCAGCTTCAACATCAGTCCTTCCAATGAATATTCAGGACTGATTTCCTTTAGGATGGACTGGTTGGATCTCCTTGCAGTCCAAGGGACTCTCAAGAGTCTTCTCCAACACCACAGTTCAAAAGCATCAATTCTTCGGTGCTCAGCTTTCTTTATAGTCCATCTTTCACATCCATATATGACTGCTGGAAAAACCATAGCCTTGACTAGATGGACCTTTGTTGACAAAGTAATGTCTCTGCTTTTTAATATGCTATCTAGGTTGGTCATAACTTTCCTTCCAAGGAGTAGGAGTCTTTTAATTTCATGGCTGCAATCGCCATCTGCAGTGATTTTGGAGCCCAGAAAAATAAAGTCAGCCACTGTTTCCCTATCTGTTTGCCATGAAGTGATGGGACCAGATGCCATGATCTTAGTTTCCTGAATGTTGAGCTTTAAGCCAACTTTTTCACTCTCCTCTTTCACTTTCATCAAGAGGTTCTTTAGTGCTTCTTCACTTTCTGCCATAAGGGTGGTGTCATCTGCATATCTGAGGTTATTGATATTTCTCCCAGCAATCTTGATTCCAGCTTGTGCTTCCTCCAGCCCAGCATTTCTCATGATGTACTCTACATATAAGCAGGGTGACAATATACAGCCTTGATGTACTCCTTTTCCTATTTGGAGCCAGTCTGTTGTTCCATGTCCAGTTCTAACTGTTGCTTCCTGACCTGCATACAGGTTTCTCAAGAGGCAGATCAGGTGGTCTGGTATTCCCATCTCTTTCAGAATTTTCCACAGTTTATTGTGATCCACACAGTCAAAGGCTTTGGCATAGTCAATAAAGCAGAAATAGATGTTTTTCTGGAACTCTCTTGCTTTTTCGATGATCCAGCGGATGTTGGCAATTTGATCTCTGGTTCCTCTGCCTTTTCTAAAACCAGCTTGAACATTTGGAAGTTCATGGTTCATATTTTGCTGAAGCCTGGCTTGGAGAATTTTGAGCATTACTTAAGTGGCATGTGAAATGAGTAAATTGTGCAGTAGTGTGAGCATTCTTTGATGTTTCCTTTCTTGGGGATTGGAATGAAAACTGACCTTTTCCAGTCCTGTGGCCACTGCTGAGTTTTCCAAATTTGCTGATATATTGAGTGCAGCGTTTTCACAGTATCATCTTTTAGGATTTGAAATAGCTCAACTGGAATTCCATCACCTCCACTAGTTTTGTTCATAGTGATGCTTCCTAAGGCCCATTTGACTTCATATTCCAGGATGTTTGACTCTAGGTGACTGATCACACCATCGTGATTATCTGGGTTGTGAAGATCTCTTTTGTACAGTTCTTCTGTGTATTCTTGCCACCTCTTCTTATTATCTTCTGCTTCTGTCAGGTCCATACCATTTCTGTCCTTATTGTGCCCATCTTTGCATGAAATATTCCCTTGGTATCTCTAATTTTCTTGAAGAGATCTCTAGTCTTTCCCATTCTGTTGTTTTCATCTATTTCTTTGCACTGATCACTGAGGAAGTCTTTCTTATCTCTCCTTGCTATTCTTTGGCTGCATTCAAGTGGGTATATCTTTCCTTTTCTCCTTTGCTTTTCACTTCTCTTCTTTTCACAGTTATTTGTAAGGCCTCCTCAGACAGCCATTTTGCCTTTTTGCATTTCTTTTTCTTGGGGATGGTCCTGTACAATGTCACAAACCTCCATCCATAGTTCATCAGGCACTCTGTCTATTAGATCTAGTCCCTTAAATCTATTTCTCACTTCCACTGTATAATCATAAGGGATTTGATTTAGGTCATACCTGAATGGTCTAGTGGTTTTCCCCACATTCTTCAATTTAAGTCTGAATTTGGCAATAAGGAGTTCATGATCTGAGCCACAGTCAGCTCCCAAGTCTTGTTTTTGCTGACTGTATAGAGCTTCTCCATCTTTGGCTGCAAAGAATATAATCGATCTGATTTCGTTGTTGGCCATCTGGTGATGTCCATGTGTAGAGTCTTCTCTTATGTTGTTGGAAGAAGGTGTTTGCTATGACCAGTGTGTTCTCTTGGCAAAACTCTATTAGCCTTTGCCCTGCTTCATTCCATACTTCAAGGCCAAATTTGCCTGTTACTCCAGGTGTTTCTTGACTTCCTACTTTTGCATTCCAGTCCCCTATAATGAAAAGGACATCTTTTTTGGGTGTTAGTTCTGAAAGGTCTTGTAGGTCTTCATAGAACCATTTAACTTCAGCTTCTTCAGTGTTACTGGTCGGGAGATAGACTTGGATTACTGTGATATTGAATGGTTTGCCTTGGAAACAAACAGAGATCATTCTGTCATTTTTGAGATTGCATCGAAGCACTGCATTTCGGACTCTTTTGTTGACTATGAGGGCTACTCCATTTCTTCTGAGGTATTCCTTTTTTTTTTTTTTAAGATTTATTTATTAGTTATTGGCTGTGGTGGGTCTTCATCACCGCTGTTTGGGCTTTCTCTAGTTGCGGCAAGCAGGGGCTACACTTCGGTGTAGAGGAGGGTCTTCTCATTGCAGTTGCTTTCCTTGTGGAGTACAGGCTTCAGGGCACACGGCTTCAGTAGTTTCCACACTCAGGCTCAGTAGTTATGTTGCATGGGCTTGCATGTTGCTCTGCAGCATGTGGGATCTTCCCTGACCAGGGATCGAACCAGTGTCCCTTGCATTGCAAGGCAGATTCTTAACCACTGGACCATTAAGAAAGCCCCCTCAGATATCTTTTTATTAACTTAAATTCCTAACACAGTTTTTAAATCACATAGAAATATTTATCAGTTAGGGTATCTTTGCCATAAGGAGCAGAAAGCCTGGCTAGAAAGGCTTAGACAGTAAGCATAGGATATGATGCCCCTGTCGAGGTCTCCCTAATAGGCAGCAGAAGGGAACCCTATCACTGTTCCAGCCTCATCCACTGCTTTGCCCGCTCGGCAGTGCCCCGTCTTGGCCACATTCAAGCATCTAAAATCACACCACAGGATTGCAGTGAGCCGGTAGGGATAGATAGGGGTCCCTCTTCCCTGAAGCTATATGTGCCTTTCTTAAGCCCATCGCTGGCAAAGCAGTGGAATTAACATGCCAGTTAATCACTTGAATGCTCGGGGCATTCAAGATGTGTGCCTCCTTTTATTTTACCAGTTTTATTTATCAAGTGACCTCTGTAAACAACTGAAACCAGCTGACTGAGGTCCTTTCAGATCAGTGTGTTTTCCCTCCACAGTTCTTTGTTGAAAATAGAGAAATGGAGAGGATTCATAATATGAGAGGATCTTTGAGGATTCAAATAAAAGCCCCAAATCTCTCATCTAAAATAATTTGAGGGGTTAAAAACCCAGCCTTCAACTTGGGCCCATGTGGCATCATGGGCCAGTCTGGGGCTGCAACTTGAACACAGCTGATGAGGCCTTGTCCTCAAGGGCAGGAAGACAGACAGACATTATGGGGGCAGATGTTGGCAGAGTAGCTGATGGGTATGGACTGGGGTGGGGGGGTGGATGGGGGCGTGCTATAGGAGCCCAGAGAGCATGCCTGACCAGCCTGGTGGGAGGATCCTTTCTCTCTGCTGGAGGAGTGTTCTTACTTGAGATCTGTGTAGTGGGCAGGTACACAGGTAGACCTGGAGATAGAAAGTCTGTGGGCAGGGGGAAGGAAGCAGGGCTGGAGGAGCTAAAAAATAGTCCAGAGGGGCTGGGGCACAGGGACCTAAGAAGGGCTGCAGGAGAGGTGAGGCGCAGAGGCCAGGGGAACCAGCGCCGCTGGGGCCTAGGAGGCCGAGATGAGGAGCGAGAAGGGTTTTCAGCAGGACAGTGACACAGCCTGATTTGTTTTTCCAAAAGACGGTCTGACTCTGGGGCGGGGGTGGGGGGCAGCCTGGGGGTCTTGGGAAGGGAGTTTCCTGATGACCCTGGGTCTTTCGGCAGCTCTCCCCACCTGGTGCAGGTGCGTGAGCGGATCCGCATCAATGGGCAGCCCATAAGCTCCGAACTCTTCACCAAGCACTTCTGGAGTCTCTACCACCGGCTGGAGGAGACCAAGGTGCCTGTGCCAGAAGGCTGGTGGGTGGGCAGGGTAGGGGACCCCAAGTGGGTGGGTAGACCCAGAGGGCGCTGCACATCCCAGGACACCATCTCCACCAGCACAGAGGCTGCAGAGGCCCCGAGCTCTGACGTAATCCTGCCCATAGGACGACAGCAGCTGTGTCTCCATGCCTGGCTACTTCCGCTTCCTCACGCTCATGGCCTTCCACGTCTTCCTCCAAGAGAAGGTGTGTGTGGCCACCTCCCCAGAAACCCTGTGTTCCAGACCTTGGGAAGGGGAATCTCAGCAGGCTAAGGGCTCCCATGCAGCGTCGGGAGCCCCTTTGCCTCCTGCCATGCCTTCTGATCTTCTGCAGGTGGACCTGGCAGTGGTGGAAGTAGGCATCGGTGGGGCTTACGACTGCACCAACATCATCAGGTGAGGGCGATGGCTTGGGGAGAGGGATGGTGGCCAGGAGCCCAGGGGCATTCTGGCCCTTTCATTTCCCGCAGGAAGCCTGTGGTGTGTGGGATCACCTCTCTTGGCATCGACCACACTGGCCTTCTGGGGGACACGATGGAGAAGATCGCATGGCAGAAAGGGGGCATTTTTAAGGTGACCTGGGGAGGGGAGGTACATGGATGGCCTGACCCTGGCACTCAAGATTCAGGGAAGGGGAGGGGTGCTTATTTGTATCTTGACTCAGAATTAGGTCTTGGAATCAGTGGCGTCTGGGTTCTCAAGGGAGCTCTGTGTGGGACTGGAATAAGTTGAGCCCCATCTCTGGCCTCAGTCTCCCCATCAAGGGGTTCCCAAAGGTCCAATGGGGGAAGGCTGAATGGGCTGCCCGGAACGAGGGATGTGGGGGCCAGAGATGGGCGGTGGAGTACCTCAGGTAGCCCCTGGCTCACTCACCATGTCCTCCACAGAGTGGCGTCCCTGCCTTCACCGTGCCCCAGCCTGACGAGCCGCTGGCAGTGCTAAGGGACAGAGCTCAGCAGATCTCAGTGAGTCTGAAGGAACTGCCGTGGGGGCGGAGAAGGACTGACTGGGGAGGCACTTTATCCTCTGGGGCCTCGGTTTGCTCATCTGTGCTCGTCCAGCTGGGGTGCATCTCGGTTCTAGGGACAGGGTTTGGTGGGTTCTGGTTGGTGGGTTCTGGTAGATGGAAGGGCTGATGGCATCAGGGAGGGCCATCCCCTGAGCAGCCGCTGCCTGTCTCCCCTGCAGTGTCCCCTCTACCTGTGTCCACCGCTACAAGCCCTGGAGGAAGGGGGGCCACCGCTGACCCTGGGCCTGGAGGGAGAGCACCAGAGGTCCAATGCTGCCTTGGCCTTGCAGCTGGCCCGCTGCTGGCTGCAGCAGAAAGGTTACCAGGGTAAGTGGACAGGTCAGTGGATGGGCAGGGGACAGGTGGACCCGCCTGTGAGGGCCCTTAGAGGTGAGGACCGAGTCCACTGAATCCCTCCCTCTCCCTTCCCTCCCCTGCCAGATGCCGGGGAGCTGAAGGCATCCAGGCCAAGCCTCCCAGGGCAGCTGCCCATGGCACCCGTGTTCCAGCCCACACCCCACATGCAGCAGGGTGAGTTGGACCTTCCTGCCCAGCCGAGCCCCCTTCAGGTGTTTTCTTTTGGTCTCCTATTAGAGAGGTGGGACCAATGGTGCCTTAAGAGAAAGGACTCTGCTGAAGGCAGTAAGCTTCCCGCACTTTGAGTCCATGAAGTCTCTCTGAACCCGTTTCCCCATCTGCCAAGTGAGATGATGATAGGATCCACTGAGAGGTGCCATCACTGAGGGACTGAGTCCGGAGCCTGGCAGATACAGGATAAAGTGCCCAACCAGCCTGTGGCAGCTGCCAGCACTGTCATGCTTGTCATCATCAGGAGACCATGAGGGTCTTGAGGACCGTGATACTCTTCAGACTTCTTGCTTCCCCTCAAAACTTTAAGCACATAGTAGGTCCTCGTGGCTGTTAAACCCCTTCAGCGGATGGTTCCAGGGTGCCCACTGTGTGCCAGGCCCTGTGTCAGGGCCGTGAGACAGTCCTGGAGCCAGGTGGGTTACATCCTAGCCCCAGGACTCAGGGCTTCCCTGGGGGTCAGCAGTGCAGAATTTGCCTGCAATGCAGGAGACGTGGCACACGGGGTTTAATTCCTGGGTCTGGAAGATCCCCTTGGAGAAGGAAACAGCAACCCACTCCAGTATTTTTGCCTGGGAAATCCCATGGACAGAGGAGCCTGGCGGGCTACAATTCCCGGGGTCGCAAAGCGTCCGACGTGACTGAAGCGACTGAGCACACAAGACCAGGACTCACTCGCTCTGTGACCAAATCTCTCTGAGTCAGGGTTCTCTGCCTGCATCTTAGGACTAACATATGACAGCAGCCCCCTTCTCAGGGCCGCCTGGAAAATTCCACCAGATAAGGCAGCCAAAGAGCTGATCCCAGCGACTAGGGCCCAGCCAGAGGCTTCTGGGCCGATCAGAGTGGCTAGCAAGGAGGGCTCTGCGTGTGGGCAGACAGTTAGTTGAGGACCACAGTGGGAGTATACAGGAGGGCAGCCCCGAGAGGGCTGCCTCGGGGCTGCGCCTGGAGGACTGCCTTGCTCCCCAACCCAGGGCTTCGGCACACGGAGTGGCCAGGTCGGACGCAGTTGCTGCGGCGCGGGCCCCTTACCTGGTACCTGGATGGCGCGCACACCACTAGCAGCATGCAGGCCTGCGTGCGCTGGTTCCGCCAGGCGCTGCACAGATGCCAGAGGCCGGACAGGTGAGCGGTGGGCAGAGGCGGGGCCGGGGGCGGGGGCGGGACCTGGGGGAAGGATGGGGAGGAGCTTGGTTAGCGGAGAGGGGCGGTGCCTTGAGGAGGGGCGGGGCGGGGCGGGGCCTTAAGGAGGGATGGGGCGGGGCTTGGTCAGCAGAGGGGGCAGGACCTTGAGGGAGGGAGCATGGGCGGGGGCGCGACTGGGTCAGTGGGGAGGGGCGGGACTCGGGGACAGGATCGGACGGGGACAGTAGGGGAGGAGAGGAAGTTTCTGGAGGAAGGATGGGGCAGGGCCCGTGGAGAAGGGGTGGGAAGCCCCGCCGCTCTGACCTCCCCCGCCTCCAACCCCTCCCTCTCCCAGCGGGTCCGAGGTGCGCGTCTTGCTCTTCAACTCCACTGGGGACCGGGATTCCGCGGCCCTGCTGAAGCTGCTGCAGGTGAGGGAATGCCTGGGGTATGGGCAGCAGGCAGGCTAGCTCGAGTGCTGGCTTTGACCCCGAGCAGCGGTGCCTTCATCCCTGAACTTGTTTCCTCAGCTGGAGAATGGCACTGATTGCTCATTCCCCTGCTGAATTGTATTATCAAAGCATTGGGTGCAGGGAAGTCAAGTCACAGGTCACTGCCCACATTCTCCTCCGTGGTCACACTCAAGACCAGGATTATAGGCGGGACCAGGTAAGTGGTATGAGGTGCAGGCTCTGGATTCACTTGTCAGGTTCCCTTCAGCCACTGGTATGTGACCCTGGATAAGAGATGGCATTTCCCTGAGCCTCAGTTTGCCTCGCCATAAAACAGGGATGTTACTATGATACCTGCTTCTAAACTTTGGTTTATCCAAGAAGACACATAGAACATAGATGGCCCATAAGTATATGAGAGTGTACTCAACATGCCAGATCATCAGTACAATGCAAATCAAAACCACAAGGAGATATTATCTCACACCTGTTAGAATGGCGGTCATCAAAAAGACAAGAGAAAGTAAGCATTGGAGGGGATGTGGACAAAAGGGAACACCTATGAACTGTTAGTGGGATATCATTTCACAGCAGCTATGGATAATAATAGGATAATAATAGAAAGGTTTCTCAAAAAAGTTCAAAACTGGTATGTTATATGATCTGGGGATCATATCTTCTGGGGATTTATCCCAAGAAAAAAGCACTAACTTAAAAAGATTTAAAAAATAATAAAGTTTGGTTTAAGGGGTCACTGGACTATTAAGCATAGAGGGAGGGGCCCCACTGTGCTCTGGGAAATTGAGTCTGCCCTGGCTGTCAAGGCTGAAAGGGTTCCTAGGGATCATTTCCCATTTCATAGACAGGATGCTAAATCTGTCCTTCATATCTACAACCTCACTCCTTTGTGCTCAGTAGATGGGTCACCTTAAGCCAATGTGCATGCCCGCTCCAGTCTGTGTCCCTGTCTGTGTTGGGCTGTGCTGCCCAGGCCACAGGCCATATGGGGTACACTGAGGCAGATGGGGAGGCAAGGGGCATGGAAGTGCTGTGGGTGGGTTTATGCAGCAGCGCTCCAGTTCAGCTGGGGGGGGGGCATCTCTAGAGATGGGGACATGGATGTGGACTCTGGGGGTGCTCTGTGGAAGTCAGGGTGGGGGGGCCTCCTCTCAGGCCCTGACACTGAGCTTCTCCCTTTGGCCTTCCAGCCCTGCCAGTTTGACTATGCCATTTTCTGCCCTAACCTGGCAGAGATGGCATCAACAGACAATGCAGGTGAGTTGACAGGCATAGTCCCTGGGGTGGGCAGGGGGCAGAGGGCCCTGAGGTGGATTGCTGTGTTGGTGACAGTGGGGGCTTTTAAACTGGAGGTCTTGGGTAAGAACTAGATTTGTTTTATCGTATAAAGCAATACCCTTTGGTACGTTTTGAATGTTGTGTGTGACTGCAATTCTAAGAAGGAATTGTTGGGGAAACTAGTTTTCAAAATGCAGGTTACAACCCAGTGATGGTTCTTGAAATCAGCTTAGTGGGTCTCAACCAGCATTTTAAATAGAATAGAGAGTGTCAGTGTGTTTTGCACAAAATTAAGGGTAGGTACTGTCTGATGACATTCTCTTCCAGACGTATACATGTACACATGTGAGTCCTGGGCTGCTACTATAAAATGTATTCTTTTTTACTATGGGTTATATAAAAAGTTTTTTTTAAAAAAAAATCTTAAAAATACAGATCTCCAGGCCCCACATCAGTTGGCATGGGGATAGTCTGGGAATTTGCATTTGGAGAAATACTTAATGCCCACCTAGTGATGGACCTTGTGCATTTCACAGATGAAGGCAATGAGTTAGGGCAGAAAGAGGTGCTCCATGGGCAGAAGCCCCAACATGGAAGCTAAACTGCCTGGGCCTGTTTCTCAACAACTCTGTGACAAAGGGCAGTCACCGAACTTTCCGAGCCTCCGTTTCCTCAGTGCTGAGGATGGTCAGTGCTTGGATAGAGCCTGGCATTGAGCATGGGCTCACGGCATGCTTCCCCTCCCCGACCCTGGGCTGCCTCACTATGTGTCCGTCCCTGTGCCCTGCAGACCAACAGAACTTCACAGTGACACTGGACCAGGTGCTGCTCCGCTGCCTCACCCACCAACAGCACTGGAGTCGCCTGCACGAGGAGCAGGCCAGCCCGGACCCCTGGAGCACCCCCAGCCGGGAGCAGGGTGGGCCTGCATCTCTGCTGCTGGCACCTCACCCACCCCACACCCACAGCGCCAGCTCCCTCATCTTCAGCTGCATCTCCCATGCCTTGCAGTGGATCACCCAAGGCCGGGACCCTGTCTTTCAGCCTCCCAGTCCCCCACGGGCCCTCCTCGCCCACCCTGTGGCAGACAGCGGGGCCATGGTACTCCAAGAGGCTGCCACCGTCCACGTGCTGGTCACAGGCAGCCTGCACCTGGTGGGCGGTGTCCTGAAGCTGTTGGATCCCTCCCTGTCCCAGTAGCCCAGGCAGTGGGGTGGAGGGGAGGGGCGTTTGCCCTCCATCTCCCATGAACTCCTAAACTATTTGCCTTTTGTGCCTTCCTGATTCTGTCTAGAGTGACCCAGGGTCTAGGGCTCTAAGCAGTGAAATAGAGAGCTGGAGGCAGGATGCCGAGCTCTGTCTCTGAGCCTTGGATGCTCCTAGCCTCTTCTTCCTGGTTCTCCAGCTGTTGGACCACACCTGACCGTCCAGTCCCTCTCTACTCCCACGCTGCCTGCTTCCTGTCTCAGGCCCAGCTTACTGTGTAAGCTGTCTGACCAAGCCTGGGGCCCTGTCAGCTGTTGGCTGCTGGTTGACAGATTTCCTCCTCCCAGTGGCCTTCTGGGAAAGGAGAGGGTCCCTGCCTGGGGCCCTCAGGGCGCAGAGGGTGGCTGAAATGATTTAAAGCTTTGAACTTTAAAAAAAAAAAAAGATTGGCTGGGATTTCCCTGATAGTCCAGTGGTTTTAAGACTCTGCACTTCCAATGCAGAGGACATGGGTTCGTTCGATCCCACATGCTGCATGGTATGGCCAAAAAAAAAAAAAAATTAAAAAAGCACTGGCTAAACATTCAATCGACTTCCCGGGTGGCTCAGATGATAAAAAATCTGCCTGCAATGCAGGAGACCTGGGTTCGATCCCTAGGTTGGGAAGGTGCCCTGGAGAAAGGAATGATTATCCACTCCAGTATTCTGGAGAATCCAATGGACAGAGGACCCTGGTAGGCTACAGTCCATGGGGTTGCTTGGAGTCAGACACGACCAAGCGACTAACACACAAACATTTGACTGACTTGACCTCTAGCTCCCTCAGCAGACAATAGGGGGATGAGGACTATGGCTGGTCCAAGAACTGGCCTGCGTAGGAGACCAGGTTGTGTGGACTGGACAAGTCTCTCCCTCCTTCCCTCTGAGCCTCAGGCGGCCTGTCTGTGGAATGAAAAGGATGAATTGATGTCCCTTGACCACACGGGAAGCACAAGGACCTTGTGATCACAAATTCTCACACCCATTTCACAGATAAGAGAACGGTGGCTGGCTTAAGGAAGCCGCGGGACCTGTCCACAGTCACAGCCCAGAAGTGGGATTTGAACCCAGGTCAGCCCTCTCCCTGGTGTAGGTGCCCCTCCCCTTCCAGCCCAGCCCAGCTCTGGTTTCATGGTCTGATTTATTGGTGATGAGTATACAGGGGAGGACCCAGGACAGACTGCCTGGGGGGTGGGCGTGGGGCGGTGTCTCTGTGTGACAGCTGCAGGGAGGAGCAAGGCTCCCCCACGCCACTCCCAGGCTGGGCACCCCTCGGCTTCTGTTTCCCCACCAGAGTCATGCCGGTTCCGACGCGGAGGTCGCTGGCAGCAGGTGCAGGTGGCTCTGTGCTGGCTTGGTTTCCACAGAGGAGGTGCCATCAGCCTGGGTGGGCTGGACTGAGTCCTGGAGTTCTCACCTCCTGCCCAGCCCAGGTCACCGAGTGCTGGATCCAGGTTACAATGACAGGGACTCTCTTGGGTGTTTACAGCAATGTGGACATACAGGGCAGTGGACTCTCACTCTGCGGTCCTGGGCAGCTGCACCCCAGGCCCTCTGGGTTTGAAGGTTCATTGGGGTGGGGTGGGGGGACCCCAAGGCGTTCCGAGCTGGTGCTCCCACTGGTGGCGGGCCTCTGGGAGGGAGGCAGCAGGGGCGGGTGCAGAGGGCAGGGTTCATCCTTGGTCAAGTGGAGGGGCTGGGGTCCCGGGATAAGTCCACGGCCAGTGGTTCCCAGCTGCTGGCTGCTCAGTCTCTCCTGCTGGGCGGGGGCTGGCTGGGCACTACGCCATGCTGCTGGTGGAGCAGGGGGTGCTCTGGGTGCTCCCGATGCTGTGGTTGGTGCTACTGCTCTCCGAGGAGGCCGGGGCAGCCACCGCCACCACGGGCTCCCGCTTGCCGGGGTGACCTGGGGGCAGGGGTGGAGGTCAGGGCCCCGGCCAGGGCTCCCCACTGCCCCAGAGACTGCGCGGGGCTCCCCCAGGTGGTGATGGAGGGGACCTGAGCACTCACTGTGAGGGCCTGGGATACTCACGCGTGTGCGAGTAGATGTACCAGAGCGCGGCGGTGAGCAGGGCCCCAATAAGGAAGGCGCCAAAGGTGATGCCCAGCACGGCAGGCAGGACGAGGCCTTTGTCTGCACCCAAGGACAGGATGGCTGCTATCAGCACTTCCATCTTCTCCCTGCACCTCCCATCCCCACTCCCCGCCCTATTGTGCCGGCCAGGAGCGCAGGTTTTGGTGCCAGTCTCAGCTCAGCCACTGACCCTGACTTCTCTGAACCCATTTCCTCATCTAGCCAATGGGCTCATCACACCCACATGTGGCATGAAGCTGTGTTGCTAAGAGCATCCCCCCAAGAGGGCCCAGCCAGGCCTTTGGGGCCATGCCTCTGCCTCCAGAGGCTGGTAGAGATGCATTTTTAGGGAGGCTGGATGGTATAATCTGAGCAAAGTATGAGTGGGGCCTGAGAGTCCAGAGTCCCGCTGTGTGACCTTAGGTCAGTCCCTACCCGTCTCTGAGCCCGCTACCAAAGTAGAAGCCAGAGCACCCCTGAGGGCCCTTCAGCTCTCTTCTTGGGTTTTCCCAAGCTTCACTCTTTCTGCACTCCTGATGCTTGTCTGACTATGGGCCAGGCACCCTGCCCGTAGCCCTCTGAGTTTCCATCCCCGCAGTGGGGTCATTAGCCTGCCCTCTTGATTGTAGGCTGGGCGTAGGGCCTCCATCCAAGCCCAGGTGGGATGGCCAAGGGGCCGATGCTTCTCCCACCTGCATTCAGTGTCAGGGACTCTTCTGCCCAGGGGGGACCTGGGCCCAGGGGGGAACTAAGACAGGCTGCGGGGAGCTGGGCTGAGGGGCATCCTCCACACTAGGGGTCTTATGGAAGGAGAGGCCAGTGCTGCCTCCAAGTCCTGTCCAGTCCCGATTCTAGGAGGCTCATCCCCCAGCAAGGTCAGCCGGCCACCCTGGGGATCAAGAAGAGCCAAAGGCCTGGGATGCGGTCCCATGGGATGGTCATAAGCAAACGCTCTCCATGTGGAAGACTCTAGCTGTGGCCCCTGCTCTCTGGGGTCCTCTGAGCGCCCATTGTGCCCTACTCTGACTTCAGTCCCTGGAACCCAGGGGAGACTTAGAACTCACCAGGCAGGCCGGCACTGACGATGTTCAGGCGCATAGAGACAGTCTTGTGGACTTCCTGGAGGAGGAAGAGAGCCTGGGGTGTGGCACAGCCTTTGAGAGGCAGCTCTAGGCTCCCTCCCTGTCTCTGTGACCCTGGCCTGCCACAGCCCACCCTGGGGCCTTGACTCTGAGCCCCATCTGCACCACCTTCTGGCTGGGGGCCTCTGGGCAAATGCTGGCAGATCTGTGCTGTCGAAGGGTGGCAGCCAGACAATTCTTGGCTGCTCCTGGTGTGTTTCCTGTGAGTTCCTGAAAGGTTCCCAACTCCCATGAGGATTATGGGAGCACCGCATCCATTATCCTTGTGAATGCCCGGAAGCCCGGGCTCACTGTGGCCCGGGGAGAGGCCACTCAGGAGTGGTCCCAGAAGCTTCTCCAGCTTCATACAACTAGAGAAGCTTCTCATCCTGCTGACCCTTTTGTGTGCCAGGGCTTGGGGATGACTCTGTGTGTGTGTGTGTGTGTGTGTATGTGTGTGTGTGTGTCCAGGGCCCAGTGTTTAAGAACTGGTATACACTAGATGGTGAAGTGGTTGTGACCAGTAAGTGCAGAAAATCAGAATTTTGTGTCCTTTGTACTAACCCTCTTCCCTGAGGTCTACTGTTTGTTGAGATTACCATGGTGATCATACTATATGGATAAGATGGGTGGGTGGATGGATTCCTGGGTGGATGGATTGATGGATGATGGCTGGGTGCGACTGTAGAAGGTTGGATGGATGACTGGGCTGGTAGAAGGACTCTGGATGAATGACTGGGTGGGATGGTGAGAAGCATCAACCGATAAATGATGACTGAATGGGATGGTGGGAAGACAGATAGATGGGTGAAATAATGGATGGATAGATGGATGGACAGATGGATAGTGGTTGCAGCTGCATATCCGACCAATGTCCCAAGACATACCACAGCCATCCAAAGGTTGTCGGGTGGCAGAAAGAGTGCCCTTGGTACCCAGAGGCCACGTGTCTGCCTGTGGCTGTCTTTTGCCCACTGGTCCCACATCCTCCTGGTCTATCACATCCCTTCCTGGAAACTCCAGACCCAGAAGCCACCCTTGAAGCTGGGCTGGGCCCGGCTCCCACTCACCAGGGACCGAATCCTGGGATGCATGGTCACAGAGCAGCTGAGGATGCCAGTCGTGGGCATGGGCACCATGTAGCCGCGGAGGAGGAAGCTGAAGCGTATGTCACCACTAGGGCTCGGGGACAGCAGGCTCACGCAGCTGCTCTTGGCTTCCTGGCCCTGAATGAGTTCCACGATTTCCATGTCGGGCCCCAGGTTCAGTTGGCAGCTCTCCAGCTGGATCTTGAGCTCAGGGATGGATGGGGACACGCTCACCTGCACGAGTAGGTAAGGCGGCCGAGGCCCAGTCAGTTACTCGTAACTCTCCACCTTACCTGTTCTCGCAAAATAAGCTAGATTCATTCTAGAATTCCTGCTCGGGAACTTTGATGGTGGAGGGACAGTTACTGGCCTGCCTGGAGCAAAGGAGGAGGAGGTGACATTCCAACCAGTGTTTGAGCTCTGCCTCCTCACCCACTACCCCCACCCCACAACCCTGCACCAGGGTGGCCCACTCCTCCCCCGGGGACGTCAAGTTCCACTGGGAAGAAAGAAAAGCTCTGAAAAATCCCAAGGGGCAGCAGGCCTGAGCAGTCAAGTCCAGTACCTGCACAAAGCCCTGCTGGCCCAGCTCGATGGTGTTGGAGGCTTGGAGGAAGTGCGGGCTGAGGTAGAGGCCCAGCTGGAGGGAGAGGTTGTCCATGTTGATGCACTGCACCTTTCTCTGTGGGGATGGGAGGGAGGCTTGGTGGGTCTGGGAGGTACCCAGTGAGAAAGCTAAGGGGTGGGAGCAGGAGTCATGGTCCAGAGTTGTTGCCTGACCCTCCTCCTCACCTTCCCCACCACAACTGATATTTATCAAGAACTTGCTCTCAGGAATTCCCTGGTGATCCAATGGTTAGGATTCTGTGCTTTCACTGCTGAAGGCCTGTTGTCTGATCTCAGTCGGGGAACTAAGATCCCACAAGCCGCAGAGCCAGAAAAAGAACTTGCTCCGCACAAAACTGACCCGTGTGCTTTCCATGTCTCCTCTTGGTGATGGGTCATCCCATAGCAGGTTCCTTTCTTATAACTCCTATTAACAGGACCTTTGGGCCCAGAGAACTTCTGTGATTTGGCCAAGGCCACACAGCCAATTCGTGCTTGAACCCTCTGACCTGAGAGGCTGAGAACATGACCCTGAACAGTACTGCCCCCACTGCACAGAAGGGGAGACTGGGGCACACTGGAGACACATTGGCTTCCCAGGATCAGGGTTTGAGTCTCCTGAGGCCTGCTACCCCCTGGACCACATGGGTTAGCACGTTGACCGTCCATCTCACCCGCTGCGGTGATGAGCTTGACAGGAGTCTGATGACCACCTGCAGGAAGAGAGCCAAAGAGCTGGTCAGAGCCCGAGAGGAGCCCAGAGGGTATCCCACCCAATCCACCCATTTTTTTGGATGGGGAAACTGAGTCAACCAATGGCGAAGCTTGTCTTGTCTTCCTACTGAGCACCACACCCACTCTCCCCAAAGCCTCTCTACCTGGAAGATCCAGGAGGCGCCTGGAAGGGGCACCATCCCTTTTTCCCACCTCAGGTCTTACCTCGTTACTGACCACATTTTCCATCACTTCCATGCCGCAGCTGGAGTAGCCGCTGCTCAAGACAAACTCGTCTTCTGTTTCCTCGGCTTGGCAGCTGGAGTCCCAGAAGGTCAGGCTTGTGATGGTACATAGCAGAGTCTGGGCCAGGGTTGTGGGGGGTGCAGGGGAGGCACTGTCAGGAGGCACAGGGCTCCCCAGGGCTTGTCCATCACACCCCAGCACCAAGGATTCAAGACCCAGGGGTCTCGAATCACAGCCACGCCTCTGCTCCCATCCCCATTATTGTTAGGTCTCATCATCCTACACTGTTTAAGAGTTACTACTTTTCCTGAACTTGACACACTTCTGTATCTAGCAATAATATCTGTGACATTGTGAGCATATCCTAGACAAATGCATTCAGAGAAATTGTGTGGGTTTGGTTTTTTCCAAAGATCAATGGATGACAGTGTATGGCATCCAGGCCCCTTGGGACTGGATGGCAGTAATGCCAGCCATTGCTGATCCCTGCACCACCTCCTCCACCTCCCAGACATCTGCCGGGCCAAGTAGAGGCAGGTAAGAAGTGGGAGATGGGCTGCAGACAGATGGAACTTCATCCTGGCCCTGATACCACACACCCCAAAACACTTCCACATGGACATAGAGTGAAATGTCATTCTAAAATCCCTGAGAACATGCATGACTCATCAAGACTCTGGCAGAGAGATGTCCTGCCTCAGAAAGACTAGAAAAAAATCACAAAGGAGATGGCCAGCTAGGATGGCCCAATGTTTTCAAACATCCCCAAAATTAAGAAACACTCTGGCAAAAACTTAAAGAACGATAACAAACCAGGAGAGATTATTTCCATAAGAATGATAGACAAAGGGCCACAAATGTCTTTCTTCATCTAAAAAGCTTATAGAAATAATCAAGAAAAATACCAAAGGAGGGAGGCTCAAGAGGGAGGGAACATATGTATACTTATGGCTGATTCATGTTGTTGTACAGCAGAAATCAACACAACGCTGTAAAGCAATTATCCTCCAATTGAAAAAAAATTTTTTTTAAATACCAAAAAAATACAGAGACTTTGATTATTATCAGTTACACAGTATCAAGTCCACACTCACTACTTAATAATCAAAGAAGTAGAAACTCAAACAAGAATGGAAGACAAGATTCCACCCCCCACATCAGCAAAGTTTTTTAGACAAAAAACACAATAATTTGGAGACAGAGTCAAAGTGTTCTCATTAATCAGCAGTGAAAATTGGAATCATCTTTTGGAAAGCGAGTTGGCAACATGTATCAAAATTTCCAGAATGTTCCCTCATTTTGGACCCAGCAATCTCACTGATGTAGAAACCTATCTTAAGAAAACAATTCTATTTAAAGAATTTCATGCACAATGACACTTCCTGCATATTTATAATATTGCAGAATTGAAAACACCCAAATGTCTAAGGAGGGAGGAGGAGCTAATTATGGCATCTCAATATGATGGGATCGAATGTGTTTTTACAGTGATATTATTAAGTACATATGAACTTGGGCTTTCCTAGTGGCTCAGAGGGTGAAGAATCTGCTTGCAATGCAGGTTCAGTCCCTGGGTCAGGAAGATCTCCTGGAGAAGGGAATGGCTACCCACTCCAGAATTCCGTGGACAGAGGAGCCTGGCAGGTTACAGTCCATGGGATCACAAGAGTCAGACACGACTGAGCACCTAACACATTGCTCCACACCAGGTGAGGTTGTCAGACCTCCTGTAATCCTCACCACCTGGTAGGAACCATTATCAAGCCCATTCTACAGGTGGAAAAACTAAGGCTTGTAGAGGAATGTGATTGGTCCTCCTGCCTGGATTAGGACAAAGGAAGGACCCGTGTCAGCTGGACTGGAGGCCAGGAGCAGCTCCCTTACCGAGATGAGATCCTTCTTGAGTACCAGAGTCATGCCATCGCTGGAGCACTTGGGCTGGATCAGGGTCAGAAGTAGCTCCTGGTTGCAGCCCTTATTGGCAGTGGTGATCTCCACCGGTGTGGGTGAGGGCTGCAGCCCACTACCTGCAGGATAGCAGAGGGGGCCCCCGCAGACAATCACTGTGGAGCTCACTGTGCTCTGAGGTGCTAAGCACCTCTCTAGCTAGGTACTCTCAGCATTCCTGAGGCATATGGGGCTCCCACCAGCTGCTGCAACTTTCCCAGTTCACACAGCAGCTGGGCGTAGCAACAGATCCCAGGAGAGGGCCAGGGAAGGGAGTGAGGGGGCAAGGAAAGGGAGTCAGGTGCTTACCACAGCTGTGGGTCTTCAGAGAGACATCACTGGTCAGAGGGAGCTCCACGAAGGATGCTACTACACTGGCATTGAGCCTCCGGGCCTCCCCCAGCAGGCCTTGGGTTGTGTTTGGAAGTTGGAAACCAGGGTTGATCCTATCTGGAAAGATCTTCAAGGAGTATTCACCAGTGGTCTAATGACAGGGAGAGAGGCAGAGAAGGGAGCTACAGACACAGTCAGGGGCCACACAGCCTGGCAAGATGTGCCTGCAGGCTGGCCAGGGTCTGCCAGGCCTCAGTCAGGCTCTCTTTTGCTGCTGCTGTTTCCCCTGCCTGGACCACCTCCCCTCATCTACTGGTTCCTGTCTGTCTTTCAACTCAGCTTGGAGTGCACCTCTCCAGGAAACTTCCCTGATGCAGTGGGCGGGGTTAGGGGGCCTCTCTAAGGGATCATGGAAGGCCTCCTGGAGGAGGTGTCATCTAGGTGAGGGTCTGAAGGAAGAATAGGTAGAGCACAGAGAGCAGAAGGATCATCATATATAAAGGCTCAGTGCTGGGGTGATGGTGCAGGAAGTTTGGGTTTTTTCTTTGAGGAGCCCTGGGAAGACCTGAACGGGGCTGTGTGGGTCTCAAAGCAAGACTCACCCAGATCTGCATGTTATGGTTGGCGTCGATTAACCAGGACACGTAGGGTGGACCCTGAAGGATGAGCACGGCGGCGTCAGTATCTCTCCAAGCACAGTTCAGCTCCAACTTCACGGTCACTGTCCGGGGCCTGGGGAGGGGGAGACGGATCCCCCCCGCATCAGCGAGGGCGTAGTGCGGGGTGTGGAGCGGGGCGGGGCGGGGCGGGGGAGCTTGACCAGGAATTGCGGGGCCAGAACAAAATCTGGGGTCGGGTGAGCAGCCCCTGCGCTCCTAACCTGGTTGGTCCTGGGTCTGTCGGCGTGGAAATGGGCGGGGCCCAGATACAGGCGGGGTTGACAGTTCTCTAACCAGGCCAGGGCGGGGCTAAGGCTGGGACAGAAGCGGGGCTTTATAGGGGGCTGGGGCTGGCTGGGCTGGCTCCCTTACCAGGCCTCTGGGCCCGGTAGGATCCTCAGGATGTGCGCCTCCTTGTGGCCAGCCACACCTTCCAAGCGGCAGCCCCGAACCGGGGCGTAGGCTTTCCGGCTCCATTCGAGCGTGTGGCCCATGGCCTTCTGAGGTTCCAGAATGCAGAGCGGTGAGCTCGAGGCTGCGGAGATAAGCGCACCTCTGTCTCCTCCTGGAGCAGCCTAGCATCTAACACACAGCCCCACCCTCTCCCACAGTAATGGTGGGGCAGGCAGGATGGCTTCCAGGTGGCGCTGGTGGTAAAAAAAAGAACTCTCCAGCCAATGCAGGAGACTTAAGAGACAGGGGTCGATCCCTGGGTCTGGAAGATCCCCCTGGAGAAGGAAATGGCAATCCACTCCAGTATTCTTGCCTGGAGAATCCCATGGACAGAGCAGCCTGGTGGGGGTACACTCCATGGGGTCACAAAGAGTCAGACACAACCGAAGCGACTTGGCACACACGCAGGCAGGATGGAGCAGCAAAGAGTGGGGGCTTGGGAGGACCCGGGTTCAAACCCTCTTACAGCACAGTGACCCAGGGCAAGTCCCTGGCCTCTGTTTCCTCATCTGTCAACACACATTTTATTTAAGGTATAAAACCATGGTGGTATGTTAGAGATGCAACCCAGCAACTGCCTGTACATCTTCCCCCTTTCATCTTTCCTACAGTATTTACCATGACCTGAAATTATAGAATTTGTATACCTGTCTATTATCATCTTCCTACCACAGTGCCAGCTCCCGGAGGGTAGGATCTGGGTTTGTCCCCACAGGGTCCCCAGGTGCCTGGCATAGGGCTTGGCACATACTAGGGACACAATAAATAATATGAAAGTGCTATTTTTGTAGGTCAAGAGACTGACAAATGGCAGCAGTTTCACAGGGTTCAATCTAACATTTGATGACAGGGTAACCACTGTCCTAAGTGGCCCTGGGCAGATCACATCCCATCTGGGTGCCTTAGTGTCCACATCCGAGCAATGAGACAGAGGAATTCAGATTCCTCCAGAGTGGAGTCCTGAACCCAGAGAGGCTGTTGGGGAGGCAGACCTTGGTCCAGACGAAGGAGGATGGTTTCTGGGTCGTTCAGTTCAGCAGCAGAGGCGATGGGACCCTTTGTAGTCGCCCAGTTGAGGAGCTGGTCCTTGGTGGTGAAGGATGGCAGCTGTGTGGTGTTGGCATCTAGGGCCTCGGGAATGACCAGTTTGGGGTCCTGGGGAAGACATGTGGCAGCTCAGGACGCTTTCCCTGAGCCTGAATGCCTTCTGTCCCATGCCAGAGGTCGGGAGATAACTGGGGGAGGCAGCTAGTTGGCTGAGCAGAGAAGGCCAGGGCTGAGGAGGCTGAGGCTGGTGGAGCCGAAGTCAGCCCACAGGCCCCTAACTAGGGCCCCTCAGAGCCAGATCTGCCCCATCTCCTTTCCACACCTGGGGGGGTGGGTGGACACACATCCATGTTCATCCACCTGTTCAAACGTCACCCTCCCACTCCTCCATAAGCATCCGCATTCAGTCCCCACTTATCATGAGGCTCATGTTGGTTTCCCCAACACTCTTGTGAGGGACAGTGGCTGGCTTGGCCACCCCTGCATGGGGCTTGACACACAGTAGGCACTAAAAAATATTTGTCTGACTGTGTGCTGGGTCTTGAGACCAGCAATAAAGATCCTGACATGGCACATGGCAGGTGCTCCCCGCACATGGAAATGGAGAAGGGAAGATAGAAGACATGGATGAATAAATGAGTGAATGAAAGACAAACGATTGGTCCCTGCTCTGGGAGATCTAACCATCCAGAAACCAGTCATGCCTCAAGTCATTTGAAACAACAGAAGACAGAGGATATTATTCTATAAGAAACAAAAGGAGCAAGACAGGTCCCTTGAATGAACAGAGAATCTGGGTAGCTCCAGCACCTCATTGCCTCCACTGCCCATGCCTCAGCAGAGATTCTGGTGGGCTAAAGAAGGAAATAGGAAAGACTTCCTGGGGTAGGAGTCAAAGGATTCATAGGAAGCTGCTGGGGCCATGGCTCAGAGTTCCTCTTCCATCCATCTCCAAAGCCAGAGGCATTAGGCTGAAGCAGCAGCAGCATGCGAGCTTCAGGCTAGATACTAAGAGGGACTGCCTGACAGTGGAAATAGGCAAGACATCAGATGGTCCACTTGGAATGGAGCAGTACTTTAACGAGGGAGCAAAGTGATGAGAACCTGGGTGAGGAATCCAGTGCCGACCCCCACCCCATGGAAGGGCTGGAACAGCCGTCTAGAGCTGGAGAGTTGGGTTGGGTGGGGAGGGGTAGGACTTTTACCATCTGACCCTCAGGGTCAGCTCTGTAAAATGGGAATGTAATAGGGATTAAAGGGCTTTTGTCAAGCTCTTGGCGCTGTGTCTGGTACAGAGTCCTGCGCCCTCCCCCGGTGAGACTCGGTCTCTCCAGAGGCGTCCAGGCTCCGGCTGCTTGGGGCCAGCTCCGGAAGCTGCGGGCCGAGGTCGCGCGCGGCTCCGGCGGTCCATCCGCCCCCTCTCCCGGGCCCGTGTATTCTTAGCCCTGGGGAGGAAGGCGTGGCCCAGGCCGGAGCCGGCGGCCGCTGCGACCTTCCGGCCCGGCGGGCAGGCGGGCGGGCGCTTTTCATGTGCGCTGCGTCAGTCAGAGCCCCGCCGGGTCTAGAGCCTGGGGCTGGGCCGCCAGAGGGTCGGGGAATGGGAAGGGGGAAAAACGGGAGGCGGGGGAGAGGAGCTGTGGCCGGGCCTGGCTTGCCTGCACTGGGAGCCGCGGGGTGGGTCCCGCTGCGTTCTCCCGGTTGGCTGCGTTCGGCCTGCCCCGTCCCTCCCGTGGGGCTGGGGGCTTCCATGCCTGCTCTCTCCGCCTGACTCTGCGCTTCCTGCCGCCAGTCGCGCACCCCCTCAGCTTCTCTCGCTGTCTGAGCCCGCGTCCCAGGCAGCCCGGGACGGGGAGCCTGTCTTCAGGTCCCTTCCTCCTCTCCCGCTCCGCGAACTCTTAAGTCTTTCAGAGCCCGTCTGTTCCTCCCACAACAGACCGGCCCTCTTTCCGTTCCCAATTTTTTTTCTGTGTCTTGCTCCCACTAGTTTTCTTTGGTCTCCCCCGAGCTCCGGCTCTCTCCCCTCTGCTTTTTCTGGCTGTAAACAACAGCTGCTTACATCTGGTGGGCGGCCACCTCCCAGGGCCTTAAACGTGGAGGAGGTAGTGCACCCGGCCCACTCTACCTCCTCCAGCCCTGAGACCCCTGGCTGTGGTCCCAGCCAGTGGACCTTCTCTGTCTCTGGTGGATGTGTCTGACATTTAAAATTTGAATTTTTTTAAAAAATAATTTTTCTCCAATTTAGGCCATGTAAATTATAGCAAATCTTGCAAATTCAATACAGTGAAAAGAACAAAGCAGATCTCTGCTCCTCATTCCTCTCCCCAGCCAGAACTACTGTTAACACATTGTTAGGTTTCTTTCTGGCCTTTTTTTGGTCTGTACTTGACTATTTTCACATTTACATCTTGTAAACTTTTTCAAAGACAGTGACAAGGTTATTTTATGGAGGAGTATCAGTGAGTCCAGTTCTCCCACTGGACAGATAGGAAAACTGAGGCTATGAGAGAGGGTTGGAGTTGGCCAATTTGCACATCAACCTGGGGGCTTCCCAGGTAGCTTAGTGGTAAGGAATCTGCCTGCCAGCGCAGGAGATGCAGGTTTGATCCCTGAGTCAGGAAGGTCCCCTGGAGGAGGAAATGGCAACCCACTACAGCATTCTTGCCTGGAAAATTCCATGGACAAAGGAGCCTGGCTGGCTATAGTTCATGGGGTCTCGAACAGTTGGACATAACTAAGCGACTGAGCAGGTACGCACGCACACACATCACCTCCCGCGTTTGATTCCCACCTCCGGGTTTGGGCTCTTTTCCCCAGGTTCTGTTGTCCTTTGTGTTCTCTCTGGCAGGGCCCCAAGGGGTTCACCAGGAAGGGCCCTGGTGAGTCATGTCAGAATGAAAAAGAGAAGCAGGGGACCCTGGCCCACAGAGGTGGACAGCTGCTGCTGCTGCTGCTGCTAAGTCGCTTCAGTCGTGTCCTACTCTGTGTGACCCCATGGACTGCAGCCCACCAGGCTCCTCCGTCCATGGAATTTTCCAGGCAAGAGTACTAGAGTGGGTTGCCATTGCCTTCTCTGGAGGTGGAGGGCAGAGGCCTCCCAAAGCCCATGCCTGAGGCTGCGGTTGGAGGTAACACACTCACGTAGGCCAGCTGGAGTGGGATTCCTGGTGCCTGCAATTTCAGGAAGATGGATTTGTTCACGCTGAGGATCAGCAGCACCTCTCGGGGCCGGATGCCACCTTGCTTGGATGTCTGGAGAGTCAGCTTCAGCTCTGATATGTCCTGGGATGGGGGCAAGGGGAGAGACACATATACAGATTAGTCAGGCTGCACCAGCGGTGTGTGCCACCCAGGTCAGCAGCGTTGACTCACTTACTGTCAGCTTCCATTTCATTCTCCCTGCCCAGCTTGTCCACTCCTGTCTTCCAGAGCCCGGCACAGTGCCTGACCCTCAGGCAGGTACCCAGAAAATATTTGCTAAACGAATGAAAGATGAGTCTCAGCAAATCCAAGGAGACTTTTTTTTTTTTAATAATCAGAGGCAGGGATAGATTGGGAGTTTGAAATTGACATGTACACACTGCTATATTTAAAATAAGATGCCTGGGACTTCCCTGGTGGTCCAGTGGCTGAGACTCCATGCCTCCAATCCAGGAAGCCTGGGTTCAATCCCTGGTCAGGGCACTCTATCCCACATGCCAAAACTAAGAGTTCATATGGTACAACTAAGACCTGGTGCAGCCAAATAAATAAATATTTTAAAACAAATAAATGCAGTGAACCTAAACTTTATTCGGTAGTCAGTTGAGGTTTATTAATCCGTTAAACACCTGCTGTGAACCAGCCTGTGTGACTTTAGAGCATACTATGTGCCCTTTCTGTCCCAATGCAGCAGTGTTGAGGCATCACACTCTGCTCCCCAATTGCAGTATTCCTATTTGCCTTACTATTTTGAAGTACTAAATACTCATGTTTTGTTGGGCAATACCATTATTTTGATATTTTATAAGAAATGTGAAGTTGAAATCATTTCAGTCTCGAGAGGTACTGACTGCATTAAAAAATTTAATTGATCATGGTATAGGTATTTAGAATGCTTTCATCACAACAATAACAACCAATACCTAACATTTATACAGTGCTTCCTAAGTGCTTGAACTGTTCTAAGTGCTTTACACATTGACTCATTTAATCTCACGACAGCCCTAAGAGGGAGGTACCACTGTTATTTTCATTTACAGATGAAGAAACAGGGCACAGATAGGTGAAGTCACGTGTCCATGACCACACAGCATGTAGGTATGGAACTGAGATCTAGACCCAGGCAGGCCTCTGCTCTCGACTACTGTCCTGCCCCATCATGGTTTTTATACCTCTTGATTCCCAGAAAGAAAAAGAACACAGCAATCCACAAGGCAAAGTTTCTACTGAAAGAATAGACTTCTTTGGTCCTTCCCTGATGGTCCAGTGGTTAAGAATCCACCTTCCAATGCAGAGGACATGCGTTCGATCCCTTGTTGGGGAAACTGAGGCCCCACATGCTTTGGGGCAACAAGTCCACTCACCGCAACAAGAAGAAGCCTGCACGCCACAGTGAAGACCCAGTAGAGCCAGAAAGAAAGAAAGAAAGAACCCCTGCTGTGTTCAAAGACTCTCTGAACCAATGGAGCATGAACAGGTGACTCCTGAAACTGAGACAGGTGCAGGCCTCAGAAGCCCTGCCTTGGGCTTATAAGGACAAAGACGGATGGAAACATTTGATTGAAACACAAACTCCAGCTGTTCACAAAAGCTGGCAATCTCTCCAAAGAGACAAAAAGCTGACCCCCCCCCCCCAAATCTCTTCAAACTTATCAAAAAGGAGACGGATATTTCAAGATGAAGACATCAGTGGAAAGTTTTTAGATTTAACTTCTAATTATCTCCTGGCCATTTCCCCAACTGATGTCAGACAGCCAGAGTGTTTCAGCTGGAAAAATCTGCCCAGAACTATTTCCACTACCTAATAATGACACGGTGATCACACTTTGTAAGTTTGCTCTTTGAAACAAAATAAAAGCAAATAATATTTAATTTTCAATGTTTCATACTTCTTTTTCATTTTAGTGAGCTATTAGGTTGCTTATTTTTGAATGATCACTTTTATGCTAGTTTATAGTAGACTGATATATCTTGAATTTATGTTTGTGTAAGTTCACTTTTTTTTTATTAATTTCTGTTTTCTAATGGGTTTATAACTTTGGGGGTTTGAAATATCTTGTGTCATCAATTTTTAAAAATAGTGTACTTTCTAAACACTTTAAGGATTAAATATTGGATTTACTATCATATTTTGGCAAAATAGGAAATACCACTCCAAATGTCAGAACTGACATTTTGTTCCAGGATTGTGATCAGTTCTTGAAATTAACTGAAGTGAAAGGAGACCCACCTTGGTGTTATCAGGAAAGGCCTAGGCACTGCTGCCCTGTCTGAATCTTCAAGAATGGACCCACCCAGGCTTCATTACCTAATTGCCTATGTATTATTAGCTTGAACCATCAAATATGATTGCACAACTCTGTGTATATGATCAAAAACCCTCAACCGTACACTTTAAGTGGGCAGATGTTTTCACAATGAAGCTATTAAAATACGACAATCAAATATCAGTACTTTCACAGGGTTCAGTCTAATGAGTTCCCAGCCCTGCGTGTATTGCACATGCTCTCATTGAAGCAGGGTCAGGTATTCTCCCATTTCACAGACGTAGCGGTTGGGCACAGGGAGGGTCCCTGCCAAAGTGAGTGGTGAAGTCAGATGCCCAGTACCTGTCAGAATGGTGCCAGAGTGGGTGCCTGGACCCCTGGGCAGCTCGCCTGGACCGTGTCCTCCCTCGCCTCAACCCTGCCACTCCCCAGACTGCCCCACAGTTCATCACTGTCCAGCCCCATCTGTCTGTCCTCCCCCAGAGGAGTGACCCTCACGGCCCACACATGGCGAATAGATGGGTCCTGTGGTTAGGAGGGTCCACGGCTGCTGCAGACAGGGAGAATAATCCCTCCTCTGCCCTTTGGTGGACGCCCACAGGCTGAGAGCACAGCCCTCGAGGTGGCAGGAAAGAGCACTGTGACCATCCATGCCTGCTGCCACCCCACGGTAACTGTCCCTGTTTGTTCCTCAGTTTCCCCATCTGCAATACAGGGATAGGACAGAGTGGAAACCGAAACCAAGTGAGGCTCTGGATAAAGGAAGTTAAAGAAGAGAAGTAGAGGTCAGCGTCGGGTCATGCTGAGGGTGAGGGGTTAGGAGACTGGAACTTTGTGACATCTGTCATGACTCTCAGCTCTGCTCCCAGGGCTCACAGACGGATCCCTCCACTCTCCTGTCACCAAGTCCCTCCCTGTAGAGTTAGGGGTGGGGAGGGAGGAGGGGCATGGGCTGAGGCCCAAAGAGAGGCAGGCAGGGGCCAGGGCCCTGTCAAAACTCAGGGAGGCTGGAGAGCTGGGCTTCCTGGGGTCTTGGAGCTCCCGGCGTGAGCTCAAAGGCCAGCTGGTTACCAGAAAAACCCAGCCAGGGTTTCCATAGCAAATACTTCCACCCCGTGGCCCTGACTCATCAACAGAGTCACTCACACGCAGACTTCCCTCTTTCCTCCCAGCCCCGAGCCCAAAGGTAAAGAAAGGGGTCTGCCTTGCACCCCATCCAAGCTCCCAGTCTTCCCCATGGCATCCTGGTAATTCTGGAAGCCTAGCCGAGGTGGGCAGGCCAGTCACGCCCTCGCCCCCAGCTCTGCAACCTGGGCCGGTCGGGGCCTGCCCGGCCCCTTCCCTGAGCCAGTGGGCGGGAGACCACATTTCTATTTTTGTGCCTCTGGCCCACAGTTGCCATTGTCGGCCCAGCAGTCAGTGGCGGGAAGGGGGATTTCAGAGGGGAGGCCCTAAGCGCTAGTAGCCACTTATAGAAAGTCGCTTCCAGCAATTCTTTTAGGAGTGGAGCCTGGGCCTGCCTGCAGCCCCCACCCTCCTAGGGCCAGACTGGAGCCGGCCAGATTGGAGCCAGCCATCCCTTTGCTCACCCCAGTGGAGTCAGACTTACAGGCAGGGTAGCAGGCGAAGGGCATCAAAGCCAGACAGACCTGAAGTCAAACCTGGGCTCAGTCATTAGCCTGTGACCCTGGGCAGTTACTTCCTGTCTCTGGGCCTTAGCTTCCTGATCTGGAAAATGGACTGAATGATATACCTACTTCATAGATTTGTGAGGATTCAGTGAGATTCTGCCTGAAAAGTGGGTGGTCCAATATCTAGCCAAACACATGGCAGTAGATTGGCTTTCTCGACCTCCCATTCCCTCCCTGCTCGCTCGTCCAGAGGAGGGCCATAATTTAGGGGCTGAGGAGGTGGGCATGAGGGCTGGGCAGCTGTTGGCTGGAATTGGGACCAGTCAGGCCTCCCTGCAACAGCCCCTCTCTGGGCCTCAGTCCCCCCATCTGTGTAGGCTCAATACTATACGGCTCTTTGAGTCCGTCTGCCTCCTTGGGGCTCCCAGTGTTTGCCATCTGGGAGTCGGTCTCCAGCCAGGTAGCTACAGAGTGGGCTTCCAGAACCCCCGGGAGAGGCGCGCCACTCTCTCCAGCTGAGGGTTCCTGATCAGCCCATGTCATCTCTACTTCCCCAGTTTCTTTGTCTGTCTGGGAGAATAGCACTGGGCCCAGCCCAGAGCTGCTATGCTTTTAATGGGAGACAGGAAAGATGGCACAACTCTGTCCTCCAGGAGCTTGGCAGAGAACAAGACTTAACACCCCCAAACAACCAGTAACACTGCTAACCTCATGGAGATGGCCAATCAGCAAATGTTTATACACAGTTACATTTCCCCTTTCTTCCAATATTGACCCAGCAATCCAACCATCCACCAACCATCCACCCATCCACCCATCCACCCATCCACCCGTCCACCCGTCCACCCACCCATCCACCCACCCATCCACCCACCCATCCATCCACCCATACACCCATCCACACATCCATCCATCCACCCACCCACCCATCCACCCATCTACCCATCCACCCATCCATCCACCCCTCCACCCACCCACCCATCCATCCGTCCACCCATCCACCCATCCACCCACCCACCCATCCATCCATCTGTCCACCCATCCACCCATCCACCCACCCACCCATCCATCCACCCATCCATCTATCTGCCCATCCAACCATCCATCCATCCATCTGCCCTTCCAACCATCCACACATCCATCCATCCACCCATCCACTGAACCATCCAACCATCCACCCATCCAACCATCCAACCATCCATCCATCCACCATTCAACCATTCATCCACCCATCCACCCATCCATCCACCCACCTATCCATCCATCTGCCCATCCAACCATCCATCCATCCATCCACCCATCCACCCCTCCACCCACCCACCCACCCATCCATCCATCCACCCATCCATCTAACCACCTACCCATCCATCCATCTACCCACCTACCCATCCATCCATCCATCTGCCTATTCAACCATCCACCCATCCACCCATCCATCCATCCACGCATCCACCCACCCATCCATCCACCCATCCATCCATCTATCTGCCCATCCATCCATCCACACATCCACCCATCCACCCATTTACCCATCCATCCATCCATCCATCCATCCATCTAACCACCTACCCATCCATCCATCTACCCACCTACCCATCCATCCATCCATCTGCCTATTCAACCATCCTCCCATCCACCCATCCATCCATCCATCCACCCATTTACCCATCCATCCATCCATCCAACCATCCAACCATCCATCCATCCACCCCTCCAACCATCCATCCATCCACCCATCCCTCCACCCATCCAACCATCCATCCATCTATCCATCTATCTACTCATCCTTCCAATTCCGGGACTGACCCTGAGTTGAACACTGGGGATATAGCACTGAGATGCAGATGCAGTCCCTGCCCCGAGTCCATGCCCTTCCCACCAAGCCTGAACCTAACATCTGCAGGGCCTAGGGCAAGAACACATATGACAGCCCCTTGCCCCAACACCCCTCTTCTCTTCACATGGACACATGTGGACAACCAGCCTGGATGCTCAAGCTCTGCCATGCTCACCCCACAGCCCCCTATGACCTCCCCACCATCACTGAGTCCATCACTCAGTACCAGGACTGCTGACACCCACCTCTGCCTCCTCCAGGAGTGGCTCCAGGGCAAAGGCCAGGTCTGCTTTCTCTCTGCACCATTGATGCCCATTCTTAGTCACCTCATGTAGCCCTCAAATCTGGGGGAGCAAACTCCAGCCTTGTAGTGTCCCCTCTAGAGGAAAGGATAAGAAGGAACCCCATCCAACCCTGGGATGAAGCTCAGTGCATTTGGACAGGGAGTTCTGGAGTCCTGGGTACCCAGGGCAGGGACTGGGGAGGGATGGCAGAGGGGTGTAACTGGAAAAGGGCCAGAGAGGGGCTACACGTTGTAGGTCCCAGGCAAGGGCCTCCTTGCTTAAGTCTGAGGGCTGCACTACCTTCCACAGCCCTTCTCAGGATGGCCTAGAGGAGCCAGGGGCCCCCTGCCCTCCCTCTGCCTGAGCAACCTTGTCTGCCCCTCTGGCAGGAGGCAGTCAGCACCAGAGCCCTATGAGTTCCGTCTGCTTGGGGGTGGTGAGGCGGCGTCAGCTCCCTGAGTTTGCCCAGAAGCGGGGTGAATCAGCGGCTGTCTCGGCTCTGCCCTGGCTGCTTGGGGTTTGTTAGGAGGATAGCAGATCAGTGCAGTTGGCCTGCCGGGAACCGCTGAGACACCAGGCCGGTTTCCTGTCTCCACGGGTCAGGATGTGACCCCGGGCCCCCTCCCGGAATCCAGGCTCCGGCCTGCCCTTCGGGGACCCAGCGAGATAGAGCCCCTGCCTAGCGGCCCCCTCATCTGTCTGCAAATGTCCCGAACACACACACACACACACACACACCACACACACACCCTGAACCTCTCGTTCCCGAGGCTCTTGGCCGCCACAGCTCATGTGCCGCCCACCCACAGGAAATCTGAGGATTCAGAGGCCACGCGGGGATGGACGGGAAACTGGTTCTCTGTGCCAGGGTTTGCAGAAGGCAGCCATAGGTCGGGAGGGATTGGGCTGGTTGCTGAGACAGCCGCCACCCACGCCACTGCTGCCAGCTCGTGTTTCTTGCCTCTAGGCCTTTGCTCAGGCAGTGCACTTTGCCTGGAATGCCCTTGACGCCTCTCTGTCTGGCTCAACACTTGGAGTCATTTCCCTACTGCCCCTTCCTTCCACATTCAGTGATCATCCTCCCAGGGCCCACAGCCCCTGGCATCCCCTTCCCTCCACTGCCAAGTCCATCACTCAGTACCAGGGCTTGCCAAGGCCCACCTCTGCCTCTCCTGCGAGTGGCTCCAGGGCCGTGGCCAGATTTGCTTTTTCTCTGCACCATCAAGGCCCAACACAGGCTGGACACAGAGCAGGCAACTGGCGAGGACTGGTTGTGGGGAGCTGTTGGACTGAAGAGCCCTTTCTTGGCGGCTGCCTGGGGGGGAAGATGCCCTCCAGGGAAACCACAGTTCTTTCTGTGTTATTGCAGTAGGTCCGATGGGACTGTGGGCTTGACCCTTGGGGCAAGAGAGCCATGAGCATCCAGCTCCAGGAGGCTAGACCTCAGCTGCCCCTCTGCAAGTGCATCCATAGTCCCTGCTTTAGCCACCTGGTAGCAGTTGCCTGTGGGGATCCAATTAGTTGAGTGATGTGAAGATGCTCCGTACATTGTAGCATGTCGGGCCGAATGAGAGTATTAACATGAGAGATGTAGATCCCACAGAGGAGATGCTATAACAACAGGCACAGTTATTGTAAGTTAAGTAGTGGCTTTGGGCAGAACCATGCTCAGTATGTTGCCTGCATTGCTCCCCTGTATTCTCACAGCCCCCTTGTGAGGTAGTTATGGTCATCATCCCCATGTTTTCCGTGGAAAACCAAGGCTTGGAGAGGTGGCCCAAGGTCACGTCCCTATAAGGGGTGAGGTTCAGTTCAAAGACAGTCTTGCTTCAGAGCCCATGTTCTTGACTTTCCAAGTCACATAGCAATACATTCAGTCATTCATTCATTCATTTGTATACACAGTCACTGGTGCACATCAGGGCCTGGGCCAGATTTGACTATTCCATGATTCTTTGGTGAGTCCCTGAGCCCAAGAAATATGTGTCTATTGGAGCCCGGAGAGAAGGAGCCCCCGTGCCTGCCCAGTGCAATATGAGATGCTGGCCAGTGATGGATGCAGAACTGGGGCCCCCATCTCCCAAACCCCAGCTCTTTCCATCACTCCCTCAAACAAACAGGCTCAGCAGTCCTGGAGCCTGCAGCCTGACTCCTTGAGTTAAAAGCTGGACACTCCATGGACTGAGTTCTCTGGTAGAGGCAGAAGGTGACAAGGAGATTCTGTTGTCATGAGCTTAGGATAACAGGTTACAGCAGCATCTGGTCGTGCCCCTAAAAATCCTCCAATGACTGTCACTGTTCACAGGATAAAGGCCAGGCCGCTTGCTGTGGCAACAGGGCCTTGTCAATCTCCCCAGCTGTGCCCCGAGGGGAAGTGTATGCTCACACTACAGCAAGCCACATGATGCTGACCCCAAACGAGGCACCCCCCCTGGCTGTGCATTCACTCTGTGCGTTCACTGTGTCCTCTGCTCAGCCCCATGGCCTCCTTCACTCTGTGAGCTCTGGCCGTCCTTAGCATTCTTGCAATCTCCAGGAAGCCCTGCCTAACCCCATAGCAGCCCTGTGCTCCCTGAGAAAGTTCCAGTCACCTGGGTCCTGGCTGTCTGTCTGCACATCTGTCTCCCATGGGCCTGGGTGCTTGGCTGGGAGCTTTCTCTGACTCTGGCCCGCTGCTGAGTGATTGGGGCTGGGGGCATCCCAGTCACCCAGGTGAGGCGCCAAGACCTGAACATCTGAACAAACAAAATGAACTCGCAGAGGGCAATCTCATTTTCCCTATCATTACCAAACTTGAAAAAAAAAAGTACAATGGCTATCGAAACCACATAACATGTGTTTGGCTCTATCTGGAGCCTGGGGATTATCAAGGCCCACAGTCCTTGTGACAGGCAGGGTGGTGGGGAGCAGGGCCCCCTGATATTGGTGGTCTGGGCACCATCTTATCACTGCACAAACGCAGGGCAGCCTAACAGTTTCAGGGACCACAAATTCACCCCGAGCTGACACCACTAAATCGCTATCAGGACCTGAGGCTGCATGGGCCAGGTGTGGTCACCAGCCCAGGAGGGCCAGGTGCCCCCTGAACACTGAGATCCACTGGGGAATCCAGGGGACGGCCTAGTTTGGAGTCTCCGGGGATCTAGTGAACTCTGACCTCAGACATATTACTTCACCTTTCTCAGCCTGCCACGGGTCCCTCCTCTGAAAAATGGGGAGACAGACCCCTGACAGATGGGCCCTTAAGAGGCTTAATACATGTAAGGTGCTTAATTCTGTTTCTAGCACTAAGTAGGCCTACCACAGTACCTAGCACACAGTAAGTGCTCGATAAATGTGTTATTAGTATCAGGAGGGACCTAGACAAACTCATGGTGGGCCTTCTTGGTGAGGAGAAGAGAGTCTCAGAGGTGACGTCACCGGCTTCCAGACCCTGACCCAGTCACAGGGGTTTGATGAGTGACATTCCAGGGAGGGAAGCACTTTCTCAAGGTCAAGGCTGCCTGGAGCAAAGCCATATCCACTGAGAAGAAGTGAGCTCCCCGTCGCCGGAGCTGCACAAAGAGCTGCTTGCCTGGCTCTTTTCCGCTCCTCCGCTGGTCAAACCCAGCCCTTCCCACCTGGGTCTTGTGCAGTTTGGGCATTATCAAGTCTCACAGTCCTTGTGGCAGACAGCATGGTGGGGAGTAGGCCACTCCCCCCGATATTGGTGATCTGGGCAACGTCTTATCACTGCACAAGTGCAAGGAGACCTAACGGTTTCAGGGGCCACAAGAAAAGATTACTCCCAGAAATGCCTGTGCTGACAGGCCCTGTGAGATGCCCATGTTACTATCCTGGCAGGAGCCCTGGTGAGGACTCAGCCACTACCCCAGGGACTGAGTCCTCATCTCATCGGCCCTGGACCATCCTCTGGGTCCCCACCTGACCCTGCCATCGGGTACTCACCCCTTGGAACGTCAAGAAGAGAACATGGACTTCTAGGGTGGCATCGGGGATCTGAGCCACACAGCCCTCAGAAACCTGGCTCATTCCATATGTCACCTTGGAGTCCACAGGCTGTAGGTCACAGTAGACTGTTTCTGCAAGACCTGTGGGAAATCACAGGGGGAGAGAGGGACAAGTTAAGAACAAGGTGGTGACAACTACTCTCACTTTCTGAATGCCTACTTGGTGCGTGGCACTGTTTAAGGTCTTTATTGCCTTTTCACAGCTACTTTACAAGGTGTGTGTGTGTGTGTGTGTGTGTGCGTGCTCAGTCACTCAGTTGTGTCTGACTCATTGCGACCCCGTGTAGCCCGCCAGGTTCCTCTGCCCATGGAATTTTCCAGGCAAGAATACTAGAGAGGGGTGTCATTTCCTCCTCCAGGGGATCTTCCCAACCCGAAGTAGATATCATTATATTCATTCCACATATGAAGAAACTGAGTCTCAGAAATGAAAAATTTCTTACCTGAGGTCACAGTGCTAGTAGGTGTAGGGTCAACAGATAAAATGCAGGATGTCCAAATTTGAATAAATAAATATGTGTCTAAAGTATAAGCATATCCCAAACATTACATGGGATATACTTAGACTAAAAATTTTTCGGTGTTTATCTGAAATTGAAATTTCACTGGGCATCCTATATTTTCATTGGATACCTGTGGCAATGCTAACGGTGTGGCAGGGCCTCACTTCCCCTCGTGAGCCTCAAGGAGGCTTGAGAGTCTCCTGGCCGCGGCGGAGAGAGCGAGCCCAGGTTCAGAGGGCAGGGCCGGAGTAGGCCACAGAGCCTGCTGCCCGGAAACGCAGGTCCTGAGGGAAGGGAATGGAATTTCACCCCGACCCAGCAGAGGAGGAAGAGGAAATGAGGCCCCTACACCTCGTCCGAAGGAATGTGCCGGGGAAGGGTGGGGGGTGGGCTCCGGAGGAGGGAAGGAGGACAGAGAAGGGGAGACTGTTTGGAAGTTTGTGTCTCCATCTTGTCGCGCTCACTTCCTGTTTTCTTGGAGATCAAAGATGGGCGCGGAGGGCCTGGCCGCACGTCCAGCCGACGCCAGCCCAGAGGACGGGGCGGGGCGGGGGGAGGCTTCTTCCTAATCCTGGGCTATTGGGCTGGCTTTGGCTTAACCCGGTCTCCTTGCCCAACTTTCCACTGGTCGGCTCAGGGCCCCTCAGAGGTCAGAGAAGGACATAAGATGGCCGCCCCCCACCACCACCACACCACCCTCCAGCAACCACTTGGGAAGGATAAGTTCAGGACAAGAACATGTGGCTTAGAAGTCCTCACCCTGGCCCTGTGCTGTGTGCCGGGGGCCCCAGCGTGCCTGTGGAATAGGGCATTTTGGTTGAAAGCCAAGGGCCCTGGAACCAGGCTGACCTGGGTCTGTGTCTGAGGAGGCCCAACACTTACTAGCCTACGTGGCTTTGATCAACTACTTCACTTTGGGCTTCGGTGTCCTCTGTGGTAAAAGGACAACAAGAATAGAATCTACAAAACCATAGAGGTGGTTGAGAGAACTCCATGAGACAAAGCGTACGGCTGTTTGTTGCTGTTTTTACTTTTTGGCCACACCGCACAGCCGGTAGGATCTTAGCTCCCCAACCAGGGATCGAACCTGAACTCCCTTACGGTGGAAGCACAGAGTCTTAACCGCTGGACCACAGAGGTCGTTCTTTTGATTTTAATTCTTTGATTGACTTCGGCCATTGGAGAACAGTTGCTCCAAGATGGGTGGTGAAGTGGTGGGACAGGACAGCTTGCAGGCGAGGGGCCTTAGAGAGGGAGGTCACTGGTGTCTCAGGCTCAACTAGACTCAAGGCCTGATACCTTTTGCTGCCGTCCCCCCTACTTGGGGACCCACCAAGCCCCTCAGTGCTCCCCACCCTCCCCCTGACCCTGTCAGTGAACACAGGCTTCTTGGCTGTTACTCAGTCCTCCTGTATAGATGGGAGACTGCAGTCCGGAGATGCAGGATGTCCAGAGTCACACAGTACACACAGCTGACCGGGCCGGGCTCGGACCTACCTCTCCCCTCGCAGCCTGGGGTCTGGTCTGTAGATTAGCCCAGCGCCTTCCTCCTTCCTTCAGACTTTCCCTGCCCCCTCCCCAGACTTCCAGGAACCCCAGTTCCTCCCGGATCACTGGGGCCGCCTGGGGCCACCTCCTCCATGCCGTCAGCGGGAGAGGCCACAGGCCTGGCCATTATGTAATGATCAGATAACAGGCCAGGCTGGGAGATCAGATAAGAGGTCCATTTATTTTGGGGCCTTTTCGAGTCCTGGCCGCCCCCACCCCGCAGACGAGAATGGGGAGACAGGAGGGAGTGTGACGCCCGGGGCCTGTCTCCCGGAGCCGGAGGCGGGCCCAGACAAAGCTGAAAACAATCCCCTGGCACCAAGGGAAACTCCTGGGACCTGGGTTGGAGGAGGCCCCGCTGGGGGCCTGGGTGACCGGGTGAGTGAGAGACCCAGCAACTGGGGAGCCACCTCTCCAGCCCAGTCTGCTCCCTCTCCTCCCCGACCCAAGAGCGCAGAGCCACTTCGGAGGCTTTCCAAATGGCCACCCTCAGCACCTAGGGAGGCCGAGAGGATAACGGTCAAGCAAAACCAGCTCTGGAGCCGGACGTTATGAGCAAAATCCCAGCTCTGCCTCTTGGAAAGCTGGGCACCGTGAACACTAGCCTAACTTCTCTGAACCTCAGCTTCCCCCTTTGCAAGACAGCTGCCATCATGTTTCCTGGGCATCAGGGACTGTTTAGAGGCTTTGCATGAGTTCATTCATTTGATGCGTGCAGCAGTCCTACAAGATGGGGACTGTTGCTATGACCATTTGACACAGGGGGAAACCAAAGATTAGGGAGAGGCAAGAATTTGGAAAAGATCCTGATGCTGAAAAGATTGACGGCAAACAGGAGAAGAGGGTGACAGAGGATGAGATGGCTGGATGGCATCACCAATTCAATGAACATGAATTTGAGCAAACTCCAGGAGATAGTGAAGGACAGGGAAGCCTGGAGTGCTGCAGTCCTTGGGGTTGCAAAGAGTTGGACATGACTGAACAGCTGAACAACCACAGCAAGAATTTGCCTGAGGGCACCCAGGTGTTAAGTGGCAGGGTTCATGCTGGAACCCAGACCATCCAGCTCTAGCACCCAGCACTCACTGCACAGGCTGTGCTAGCTGCAGGAGGTAACCTGCGTACAGATCCTGGTATGCAGTAAGTGTTCTGGACACAGAGGCCGTGATCATTCTATGAAACCAGGGCAGGTCCTCTTTGACATTGGTCTTTTCTGCTTTTTCTCTTCTGTCACTTAGTCACCCTTTGCTCCTTTCAGGATCCAATCATGGCCTCAAAGATTTCCCTGCGTCCAGCCCAACCTTTGCTCCCTGGGCCTGGCCACCAGCAAGACCTCAGCACTCCTTTCCCCAATCTGTCCTGGGCTGCTGATCTCTCTGGGTTAAGGCCACCCTCCACAACCTGGAGTGGAGTTAAAAAGTACCAGGATCCAGAACTTCCCTGGTGGTCCAGAGGCTAAGACTCTAAGCCCCCAATGCAGGGGGCCCAGGTTTGATCCCTGGTCAGGGAATTAGATCTCACCTGCCGCAATTAAGAGTTCCCATGCCATAATTAAAGATCCCACATACCGCAACTAAAAAAAAATTAAAATTAAAAAATTTTTTAAAAATTAAAAAATAAAGTGCAGGGATTAAGAGATGTTGAAGGTTCAGATCCTGATTCTGTTCCTTTCCAGCTTCCTTTCCATGCCTCAGTGCTATTATTTGTAAAATGGAGTGGTCGTAGTCTAAATACCTTCCTCAGTGAGTTGGTGGAAGCATTGGTAAATTGACACATGCATGGTGCTAAGCAGGATTCCTGCTCAGGAACTGGCAACCGTTGTCAGTTATTTATGTCCCTCAGCAGGGAGTGGTGAACGTTTCCACCAAACACACCTCATTCTTTTCCCTTTCTGTGCCCTCTCTCTGACCACTTCTTTTCAACTTCTATTCATCCTTCAAAACCCTGTTGGGAAAATCTTCTCATCAGAACCCATCCAGTTGTGCTCTAGGTGGGAGACCCACCATAGGTGCAGGAGAGAAACCTAATGCACGGGGTGAGACAATTTGGCAATACACAGAGCCTATCTTCCCCAAGGCACTATGGTGTATGGTTAGGTCCCAGGCTCAAGCCCCTGTTGCTTGTTTCTGAGCTGTGTTACTCAGGCAAAGTCCTTCACCTGCCAGCGCCCCAGTCTCCTCAGCTGTGAAATGGGGGTAACAGGAGTGCCTGCTTCATCGGGCTTTTGTGCAGATTAAGTCAGTACGCATAACAGGCCTAGAGCAGTGGTCTGGCCTTCGTCTCCACCCTTGTCACAGGTATTGAAGTCAGTTCAGTCCTGGATGAGGGTCCTCTTTAGCCTCCAGAGCTGATGCCCCAAAGCTGGGGCTGGAGCTAGAAGAAGGGGCTCCAGAACAAGGGTGATCAGTATTCTAAGCCCCCCACATCCACCCAGGCTACCTATGGCATAAGAAAAAGAAGCTGAGTCGAGTGGACAGCTTGGACCTGTCACTAGTCCTGAGCCTCAATTTCCTCATCTGTAATCTGGGTATAGAGACAAAGGGCTGCCTGATGCATTGGAGACACAGAAGAGATGATCCCTCCCACTCACCCTGATTCCTCACCAGGCCCTTGAGCAAACAAATAGACCAAGCTTGTTCTCTGAGGGGCCAGCACTGACTTAATGGTGCCCATGAGAAATTGAGATCAATTCTTTCTCTTCCTTCGGGGCTTAGTGTTAAAAACTATCTGGCTGAAGTGAGAACCTTAATTAATGGTCCTGCCCTCACCGTACCCAAGGAACCTCTGTCTCCTGGTTCACACAGCTCCTGCTTCAACCTACCTTTCCCCCTGGCAAACGAGAAGCTGCCCCGAATGCCTTCTCTAGGGATGGATAGCTGTAGGCTGTGTCCTGCATCCCTAGCCCCTTCTCAGGGGTCACAGGTGGGGAGACCCTCACACAGGTGGCCAGCAGCACAGAGGACTCCAAGTCACACTTCTACCCTGTCTTTCAGCAAGCGCTCACACACACTTAGGAAACACTCTGATTCCAGCCACCCAGCACGGGCCACGAACCCCAGCACCTCCACTTCTGGGACTCTATCCAAGTGAAATACTCCAAAATACAGGAAAAGATGCATGTACCAAAAACGTGCTTGGAAGTGGTATTTATAACTGGGCCCAAAGGGGAAACCACCTAAGTATTCAGCAACAAAGGATTCATTAGGGAAACGATGAGATGGCACGTTTAAGGGAGAGAATATTCTAGAACCACGACGGAATGATCATGGAGTCCACATGACAACATAGAAAACTTCTGGGACATAAAAAGGGTATATAAGATTTCCAAATTTGACCCACTTGCATTGAAATTACCTTATAAAGCTAGACAATAGCCCGTAAGAAAGACACCAGCATGCTAACAAAGTCCAAATTAATAGGAGCTGGGAGGTCATTTTCCCTGCTCTTATCTATTTTCTTTGAGGAGCGGACTCGAGTGAATATATGGTTAAATTGCTTTTTAAAAATCTATACATATTTGCTCTTAAAAGAAATTCCAACATGACAGGAAAGTATGTTTCAGAAAGTGAAAATCCTCTAGAAGAACCTGGTGCTAAAGACAGTGACATTGGGGTTTTCTCTGTGCATATGGTATGTTACATATGTGCTCAGTCATGTCTGACTCTGCAACCCCATGGACTGTAGCCCTCCAGGCTCCTCTGTCCATGGGATTTTCCAGGCAAGAATACTGGAGTGGGTTGCCATTTCCTTCTCCAGAGGATCTTCCCAACCCAGGGATCAAACCCGAGACTCCTGTGTCTCCTGCACTGGCCGGCAGTTTCTTTCACTGAGTCACTTGGGAAGCTCACAGTGTGTGTTACTGCTATTTTATTCTTACAGAACTGGAGTCAGTACTGTATGGGCATCTGACAGTGTGCCCCAGACAGACGTCCACAACAGTGTAGATCTGGGAATAGCTTTTTCTTGGTAACGGCTACGTGAAATTCCAGTGCCTAGTCAGCCGTTTCACGGAGCCCAGGCTGGTGCACACTGGGTGGCTTGCAGCTGGCCGGTTTTTGTTACAGGCACCTACGGACCATACATCCTTACTGAGTTGGGCAAGTAAGGCCTTGGGGCTGACTTCTGAAGGCAAGGATGTTACACAAGTTAGGGTTTTGAAAGATTCTGCCAGGTTGTGTTCCCAGAAGGCTGGACCCATTTGGGGACCTGTTTTGGTCCTATTTTGACCGCTGGGGTGCCAGCACCTGCCAGCAGGAGCAGATTAATACGTTATCAGGAATTTTTCCAACTAGCTCCTTAAACACAGCCATAATTAAAAATTAAATTTTATAACCCTGCAATTAAATAAATCACATATTTTATGTGTAATATATATCAAATGTATACTATGGTATCAAAAGTCATAAACCCCTAATTATTTTATTCCCTTTATATTATCTGTGTTCTTGAGGTTATCTACGTCTGTCATATCTGGGTGGTGGAAATAGTAGATAAAGCTTTATTATGGCGCAGCCGCCCCAACTCCAAGTCTGCTGAGTTGATAGCTTGAAATCGCCTGGGTGGGAACATTGACACCATGGATATTAACAAACATTAACCCCCCCGCCCCCACCCACCTCTCCCACCCCACTGTTGATTATTTGCCAGTATACCACTGCCTTCAATCCTATAAAACCGGACCCTAAAGAGCTGCAAGTGTCTTTCTCTGATGACCTAGAGGAAGAGAGTGTTATCAAACTAGAAAGTAGGGGACGCTGGAGAAAGGCAAGATGGCTGGGGGCCTGTCGTGGAGTTCAGGTACAGCTTCTGTCTGAACTGTGTGAACTCAGCTGGCCAGAGCCTCCACTTCCCCTTCTGTAAAATGGGGTGATAGAGGCAGCCATCTTGGAAGATAATTGGGAGCTTATAGAGAGCTGCTGCTGTATTACTGCCTGATCAGGAACAAGTGTTCAAAGGAGTCACAGGCCTGGGGAGAATCCCTGCTGGGTCACTTGATGTCTGAGACTCGGTTTCCTGTATTGTCAATGAGGCAGTGGGAAGAGCTTAGAGACCCAGGATTAGGGACCTTAAAATGCCTTGGCTGGAGTTAGGGACTTCCCTGATGGCTCAGTGATAAAGAACCTGCCTGCAAAGCAAGAGACAGAAAGAGCCGCAGGTTCGATCCCTGGCTAGGAAAGATCCCCTGGAGAAGGAAATGGCAACCCACTCTGGTATTCTTGCCTGGAGAAATCCCATGGACAGAGGAGCCTGGCGGGCTACAGTCCATGTTCTTGCAAAGAGTCAGACACGACTGAGCAACTAAATAACAATAACGACAGGGTAGGGTGGGGAGGGGGTGACCATCACTGCTGCTGTTCCCATTCTCACCCCCCACCCCTATCCCTTAAGGAGGTCCTGGATGTGCCCGAGGTGAGGGGGTGTCCACAGGGCTATCTGGGGGCTTCAAATAAATGAGGGGCAGGGCACAGAGAGGCCCAAGGAGAGTGGCATGAGCGGCCAGGTGTCCCTGACTCCTCGCTACCGCTCATCTGGTCATTTCAGAAGGTCGCAGAGGAGATGACCACCTGGAGAAGCCCCCAGGCTGAACCCCTAGTCTGGGCTGTGCCCCCATTCCACACATTTCTTGGATAGAAGTGGAGGGAGCACCCAGTTGGAGGGGTCCAGGAGCCGCTCACAGGTCCCAGGGAAGGTGAAGGAGGAGGAATTTAATCATGAAACCACAACAAACAGAAACCAGCTTGCCACTGACTTTCCCCGAGGGGGCTTCCTTTATCATCCTCTACTCCGCTTAGTGGCCCGAAGGCAGTCCCCCAAGATCACACCATGAGGAAACACAGCGTGAGATCTGAATCCAGAGCCCAGGTTCTGACTCTGAGACTGCGCACCCTCCCATCCCACCCATGCCTCAGATGAGGAACTTAAGGCCCAGAGAGGGCAGGGGACTCGCCAGGGGCTGCACAGCACTCTAAGACCTGGGCTTCCTGGGGAGAAACTGGACGTAGTCAGAGGCCAGAGTTAAGGTAAATAACTCATCCCTGCTTGCCCGAGTCGTTTAGGATGGAAAGTTCTTCATCCTGCCAAACCGGGATGGTTGGTCACCCTGTGACATCTGTCTCGGGCAGTCCAGACCCCCCCACCCCCAGGACAGCTCCACTGGGCACAAGTCGGGCAGAGGGAGGAGGCGGGGAACACTCGGGGCCTGGTCTGTGCCCTGGGGGCCAAGTCACCCCCTCCCCAGGTCCCTGGACACCTACTTGTGGGGCCGAGGCTGCACACGACCAGCAATAGGGCAACAGCCTGGCAGAGCACGCCACGGTCCATGCTGTCCTCCCGGGGGTCTGCGTGCGGGGCCTTATCCGGTGTCCAGGGGCAGGGCTGCGGACGGGTGCGGGGGCCGGCGTGGGCTCTCGCGGGGACCCAAGGGCAGCAGGCAGCTGGAGCGACGGCGTCCCTGCTCCAGCCTTCTGAGGTGGCGGCCAAGGGGTCAGGAGAAGCGGGCACGGGAGCGTGAGGCCAGGCCGGGGGGTCGCTGGCCCAGCTTTAAGCGGGGAGAGGCTTCAGGGCTTCTGTGGATGGCGGTGGTGGTGGCGGCGGCCCCGGCCTGTGGATACAGATGGAGGCTGGGGTCTGACCGTCAGCTATGGGGAGCTCCGGCTCATCCAGCCTGGCCCGGGGAGGCAGGAAATGCGCTTCCTTAGAGAAGGGGCCGGGCCAGGCGGCCTGCCAGGCGGGGAGAGGAAGTGCCACGGGCTTTGTCGCTGGGTGGGGGGCCCTGGGGCGGGGGTGTTTGTGGGGGGGATAGGCAGTGGGGTGGGAGGACCCAGGCTCCAGGCTCGTCTCCCCACATACCCCACCCTCCCATCCCACCCTCTCCAACGGCTGGCTAGTGGGGTGCATCTGGCAGCCCCGGGGGGCAGATGAAAAGAACCATCCTAACAGCCCACCAAGGGGCACTGTCAGGGGCCAGGCCTGGCCAAGGCCTGGAACTTCATGGGGAACTCAGCTCCGTGAACTCGCTGTCCCCATTTTGTAGATGAGGGGACAGAGGCTTGAAGAGGTGCGATCACTGACCCAAGAAAATGGTGGAGCTGGAGTTTGAACAGGTCTCCTCGGGCACCAACACTGGTTTCCCTGAGTGTGACACTGCCTGGCGTGCCCTTGTTTTGTAAGCAGGAAGCCTGATGCCCAGGATAGGGGAGCAACGCTCCAAAACTGGCACAGCGTGGCAGCTGGGGCTGAGATCTCAGGGCCCTAAGAGGACAGGGGACAAGCCCACTGCCACACAGTCACCCTGGAGGTAAAGCAGGTATAACAATGCCTTCCTCGCCAGGTGGTTGTGAGATTTCCGTGGGTCCGGGCACCATAGCACAGAGCTCTGGGCCTGGCACTCAGGAAGGGCTTGCCCATCACGCTCCCCGAGCCTGGGAGACAGTCCCAGAACTTTCCCTTGCTCATTTGCAAACAGTTAGCACCAACTACATGTCTGCCTTGGTGCTAGTCACGGGTAGCACTTTAGGATCAGCCCCAGGAGGCTCAGAGAAGGAAGCCAGAGCCGCCTGGAGGAGGGAACATTTAGGTCTGGCCTATGGAAGTCTGGGCAAGTTGGGGTGAGAGGGTAGAAAAAGGCGTGAGGAGGGCATGCCAGGCTGGGCACCAGCCTGAGCAAAGACACAGAGGCGAGAAGTGGCCTGACAGCCGTAGGTCAAGCAGGGGTGTGGTGGGGACAAGAGACTTAGAGAGGCAGACTCCGGCCTTGCTCTGGGAGAGGGGGCATTTTTTACATTACTCAGGCTGCACCGGGTCTCAGTTGCAGTGTGCCGAACTTCAGTCTTTGTTACAGTAAGGAGGATCTTCAATTTACAGCTTGAGAGATTTTTAGTTGCAGCATTTGGGAATCTAGTTCTCTGACCAGGGATTGAACCTGGGACTCCTGCATTGAGAGCATAGTCTTAACCACTGGACCACTAAGGAAGTCCCGGGGAGTGGTTGGCCTTGAATGCCAGGACTTTATCCTGAAGGCCTGGGGTGTCACAGAGGGTTCTAGAGAGAGGGTGCTGACGGAGTGGGCTTGGAGAGGACAAATTTCCATCCCACAGTGGGGATGGAGTCAGGGGCTTTCCTCTTTACACTTGTCCTGGTCACAGATGGAGACACCAAGGCCCAGGGAAGAAGGTGGGAGCCCTGGCTGCCTCCGGAAAAATCGGGGGCCGAGTGGAGCTTGTTTGTGTCTGCAGGAGCTGACCCCCGGGGCAGGAAGGGCGGGTGTGGCTCCTTGGGTGGAGGTGGGGGGAGGTTTGCTCGCCCAACCCTGCGACTGCGCATTCCGTGCCTGGCCAGGCTCAGGTCTAGGGTCACCGGAGACCCATCCCAGTCCAGCAAGGCCAGGAAGGCTGTGACAGAGCGGAGGGAGACCCCCGAGAGTGACTGTTCCTCGGCCTTTTCCTGCAGCCTCGGGGATGGGGAGGTGGGCATGACCAGGCACAGGGCGGCTCCAGTGGGGGAAGGTTGGGTGGCTGTGAGGTTCCCCAGGCATCCCCCAACCAGAGTTCATGCCCCAGGGACAGTTAGTTACTCCAGTCCCCCCGGAGCTGAACTCTCCCTCTCTCAGGCCCCACCCTAGGCCTTCCTCTGTCAGCTATGGATCCCCTCAGTCACACCAGAGACACAGGAGGAACCCGAGGCTCCCTGAGGTTTGAGTGACCCCAGCTGGAGCCCCCAGGGCTGCCTGGCTCCAAACTCTGCTCCTTCCCATCTGAGCTTGGAGAGGACGGATGGCCCTGGGTGAAGGGGATTGTTGTCCAGAATGGGTGTCAGGGCATCTGAGGCCATAACGGGGACCCCATGGGAGGCTCCTCTCAAACCTCCCTCCCGGGAACTTTCCTGGTGGCCCAGTGGCTAAGACTCCAAGTTCCCAATGCAGAGGGCCTGGCTTCGATCCTTGGTCAGGAAGCTAGATCCTACATGCTGCAGCTAAGACCCCATGCGGTGAAATAAATAAATATAAAAAAAAAAATAGAAAACACCGCCCTCCCGTCCACCCTCCTGCTGCTAATCCATTCCGTCTCACACGATAAGTAGACCCATTGGTTTCTCTAGAAAGCGGGAGAGGCCTAGGTGGACCCAGGATATGCTTGAGGGTGACTTCCAGGGAGAGAAAAACCTAAGGAGGGCCTGGAGCCCTGAGCCCAAGGGCCCGGTGGAGGGAGGAAGATTGGGCACCCAGGGCTGGAGAAGGGGCTCACCCCAAAGCTCCCACAGCACCCTGACGCCCCCACCCCTCAGCCGGTCTCACGCTGTGTGAGTCTCTCTGCTCAACTAGCAGCCCCAAGAGGGCAGGGACTTGGATGTCTCTGCTCCACTGTTTACCCAGCACAGAGCCCAGGAGGACCTTCTGGTCCTTAAGACTCATTGATGAAAAGCATGAAGTTCCCCGGAAGGTATGGCAGGAGTGGGGCCGGGGTTGCATAGGGAAACTGAGACGCAGAGAGGTAGGCCTTTGCTTCTGTTCCCAGTGAAAGAGGCCAGTCCCCGGGCCGGGCTGCCTGTCCCCAAGGAGTTTCATAGTCACTGTGACACTGTCCCGCAGGCGGGGACCAACCTTGGGTGGTCTCCTGTTTGCCCCCCAGATGCATGCCCCATTCCAGTGGACACATCTACCTCCTCCAGCCCCCCCACCCCCACCCCCAGCCCCAGCCCTGCACAGCTCAGGGAGGAAGGAGCCAGAGGATTCATTCTTCTGGCTCCTTCCCCGCAGGGTCACTGCAAATTGGTGGCCTCTCTGCTCCAGAGGCCAAAGACCCTGACCTGGCCCTCTCCACCCAGCCCTTGGGGCTGGGGGTAGTCACGGGTCATGGCCGCTGCCCGCCCCGGGCTTCGGCACTGTCCCTCGTGACTTTCCTACACCCTGCCCACACCTGTGTCAACAGACCCTTCATTCCACTCTCCTCGAATTGTCCCACTGGAGCGTGCCGTCTGTTTCCTGCTGCTGGGGCCCCGACTGATACAGACGTTTTCAGGTGCCGCCTAGCCACACGCCAAAGAGACAAGCGGCCAATGGCCAGGCGTCTGGGCCAGGCCCCCACCCCGGGCAGGTGCCCCTTCCTCTCCCCTGCTGGCCAGGAAGACCGGGGCTGCAGGAGCGGATGGAGCACGTCTACCCTGGCCGCGAGCCACCAGAGGAATTTCAGGCGGCCCCCAGGGACCCCCCCACCAGGCGGCGGGCTGTCTCCAGCATCAGCCTGGAGCCAGGAACTGTTGAAAACAGTTGGGCCAGACCCACACAGGCAGGGGAGAAGGTGGGTGCAGGGAAAGACAGCACTGGCCTGGGAGTCAGGGTGTCCAGGCTTCAGGCAAGACCTTCAGATGTTGTGAGAACTGAGCAGAATCTGCTGTGTAACTCGGGGAACTCTGCTTGGCGCTCTACGGTGACTTAAATGGGGAGGAAATTCAAAAAAGAGGGGCTATAGGTAGACGAAAGCTGATTCACTTTGCTGTATAGTAGAAACAAACACCACATTGTAAAGCGACTATACTCCAGTAGAAATTAATTTAAAAAAATATTCTGTGTCTCAGTTTTTACCTCTGTGCAGTGGGAGGGCAGTCTCCTGGCCAGAAGGAGCCTAAAGCCCAGAAGAACAATCGGGATCACCCCACCACCATTCATATGCTTGCCCTGAGCCAAGTGCCACTTCCTGGCCGCTTTAACGAGCTGAGACTGTCGCATCCCCATTTTACAGGGGAGGAAACTGAGGCTCAAGTGTGCAGGACAACAGGGCTGAGGAGGAGGAGCAGAGGCTAATTCTCCTCTGGGCCTGTCCTTCCTCTCTTGACTTCCAGAACATTCCATCCTGGTTTCCCTCCCACCTCCCTGGTTGCCTTATCTGCCTCTTCTCTGGTACCTCCCCATCCTTCCTTACTTGGACCCTGGGTCTCTTCCCTTCTCTGTTTATCCTCACTCTCAAGTCCGATTTTCTCAAATCTTTGTGACCATGATGTCATGTCCTAGCACAAACCCAGGGACTCAGACTCCAATAATTAAAACAAACATTTTGTGAACCTATATATTTATATACCCTTAGGATGGGCATTCACCGTGTTCCATTTTCTTTCAAATACTGATCACTAGACACCCTATTGATCTCATTGCCCACTGTGGGTCTTGGGCATAGAATATAGTGCTCTAGATGCTCGCTACTCAAAGTGTAGTCTTAGCATCTCCTGGGAGCTTCTCTCAGGCTCTGCCCCAGACCTGCTGCATTTAATCAATATCAGGACATTCGCGTGCACATTCCAGTTTCGGAAGGACTGTTCTGGGTCCCCTC